ATTTTACAATTGTGTTTTCCTAAATAATCCAATGAGTCGAACTTATGATATATAGTCTTGATGATACTTTACAGAAATCGCATGTATCAAGTTGAAAAAGAGATCAATTTTATCTGCACATTAATTTTTCATATGTAAAAAATCTTATCCTGATACTAAGTCACATCATACTATGAATAGAAGAGTAAACAAGTGTTAGTCATTCTTTAGTAGAAGAGTGTCAAATGTAAGTACGTAGTTATGTCAAACAATATGAATAGCGATCGGTAAAATAAGATACGTAGGAAAGAAGAACTTTATAAACGATTAGAGTAGAAATTTTGGTTTTTTTTTCAAGTACTTAGAAATACTACTCCTTCTTCTTTTCTTGACGTCACTAGTGGTTCATAATTCGTTCTAAAGTCATCTGATATGCTTTTCTGGCTTCTATTATCTGGTTTTCACAAGCTTACTGTTAGGATGACCTTATACTTGCAGTATAAAAGCAAAACGAACAAACGGGTCACAACAAACCTATAAAGTACACTAATAGTTACATAGAAAATGCTTACGCTTTTTTCTTTTGTATGAAAATGATTCGCTAAAATGAAACTGAGTATCACTCGTATTGACAGATAGACAATACAAGTTTATCATGTTGCGAACCAAGCAAAATGAAAATATAGTAGTTTATGTCTAACGTAAGGGAAGTCCTTTTATGATAAGATATATATAACACGGTATATTAACCTTGAATTAAAAAAATGATAGGTTAAAAAAAATCATTAAAATTGTGCATGCAATATCAATGGGAAGATTATGTATTTATTTAATCTGTAGAAATGCAAAAATTAATTTACAGTAATTATCATCAGAGAAGTTTGGTTAGGTTTTGATTATTTTCAATGTGTACAGTCTTTACAATAAGTATTGTTTTAGGATTAAACAAGCGTGAAAAACAAATGTATGTTATCGTAAATTCTTAGTTTTGAGCTTCATTTAGTGAAGTTTCTTTTACATACATTACAATTTAGTTAAGATGAAAGTTCAGCCATTTCATGACTTCGTTGTATAGTTTATTTAGATATGCTTTCTCATTCGTTCTCTAAAGAAGCTCACAAAATTAATATATTATATTAAATAGTCTGATTAATTAAAAATCAAAACAGTTTTCTCCAGTTTGTTTTTCCAAGTTGACTTTCTAGTAGCTCAATCAATATATAATCTTAGTCCTTATAGCTCCATGTTTCATTCGAATGATCTGGATGGTTTTATGTCAATTCATCTAACTTTCTGCTTTTTAGCTTTAGCATAAAACTGTTTAGTCAAAGATAAGTTTGGAACGTTTGTTTTTTACAGTTTTAAATTAATTCTTATGTTATAAAATTTTTTAGTTTGAATAAGAAACTGCTTCTCTCTCGAAGTTTAATAAAAAAAAGTTTCAAGATGAAAAAACAGTTCCAAATCGAACCAGAAAAACTTGATTGAAAGATACTTGATATTCAAGTTTTAAAAAACTAATAAAATCTAACTTTTAGAAGAAAACCTATGCTATGATTTTATTGATTTACTAATTTTAGTACCTCTACGATTCTTTTTCAAATATCGAAGATAATTTGCACGAAAGAAAAGCACTAGAGAAAGAACGCTATTATTACAACATTGAAACTGAAGAGTCCTAGAAAAAAAGAAGCTTGAATATATCTCAAAGGTTTCAATTTCTGATACGCTTGGTTGTGCTTTACTGTCTTTTTTTTCTTCACCACTCGTAGCTTTGATCTACTGTTTAATAGCGTATTTAACATAGAGTACATTGCCTTCTTTTCTTTCACCCCTCACTTAGATATATGCTAGTCATAACGAGAGCGAGTGATTGTACAACAATTGTTTTGTATGCGTTAAGAAACATTCAATGGTTTATAATGCGAGAGATGAAAACCGAAGTATTCAAGCGGAAAAATAAAAAATCGTCTCATCTTTAGCTGAGATAAGATAAAAATAGATAGTTACGATTTTCAAGTTAATAGTAGTTGTTATTAAAATATAAGATACATCAAACAAATCAGAAGTGCCCAATATTAAGTGAATCAAACGAACATATAGAAGAAGAATTGCGACAACATGAAAAACTTCAAAAAGAAACATGCATGTTGATTGCATACATAAATAAGAAAACGTCGTTTTTATTTAATAATGTTTTATTCTTTCTTATTAAAGGACTATGAATTCACTTCGTACAAAAAATGTATTGCTTCATACTTTTATTGCTTTGAAATTTTGATTAATTATTACTAATCATACAGTAGTAATAATCTAGTACCCTTAATTGTTATCAAGAACAATAACTGAATAAATGATCGATAGTTATCTCAATAGAGCAAGAAATGTAACACTTAGGTCCCAGAAATAACTTTCAAGAGAGACCTGCAATCTGATCTATCTTATCCTTACCTGATTTTTACATAAATATCCTATATTGATTTTTTAGAAGAAAACAACAAGCGTATCTGATACATGCGAAAAATCATAATCTAAAAAGAATAGTACCCGTCGAAGTCTGAATAAAAAAGACATCTAAATAGCAGACTAGCCGAAAAAAAAATTCTACCTATGCTGGTTGATCAAAGTAAACACTCGTAGATTATTCAGTTTTGGTGACGGTGTATCTAAATACCATGCTAACACAACATTATAAATATTCTATTTTTTATTCGCTTCTTTAACTCCATTTACTACAGTCGCATGTTACATTGCTTGACTCACCTCACTTAACTCTCGGTGATATTTGTTTATTCAAGTCACATTCGTTGATGCTTTATTTCTTTCATCCTCATGGTCACTCTTCTGTCTTGCTTGAGTTAAATCATTCTTAATAACAAGAACATCGAGAAGGTGCCAGGGATCCTCCAGTACTATTCATAAATAATTGATTGAAGAGTGTCCATTGTGGGAATAATGAATCAATGACACGAGTATTTAGCTATAAAAATAGCAGTATAATTTTTGTCTATGGAAAATTTAAAGAAGAACAAAAATAATTTTAGCATCATATTGACCTTCATAATATTTTATGTAGAAGTATTATCTTAATCAGAATTATTATTTTATTGAAAACAGTTATTCAAATCATCGTTATCAAGATCAAACACATACCACAGAGAATTGATATAATGAAAGATATCGAATTATATATCAATCATATTCTGTTTTATAATAAGACGAGTTTCTCATGTATTCAAAACATCAATATCTTTTAATATGAAGTTTAATAGTTTTAATTGTAGTATTTAACGTATTTTTCATTGCCTAAATTAACATAGGAACACTATGAACTGATCAATTTGTTTCTCACTGAGAGGAAGTGTACTTCAACTTATGAATTATATTGATTTCCAATATCATTCTGAGGATTGCTAATGTGAAATATTTATATGTATATATGATATGAAATTATGAGACGGAATAATTTATTTTCTTAAAGTATATTAATTTCAATAAGAAAGATATCTTGTTCTCGAGATCGTTTCACATGTTGTATAATCTAGATACATTAAAAACAGCATTTATCAATCATTTTTCTCGAAATATAAAGATTTCTTAAGTTGATAATATTTCTCGTGGTTATATTTGGAATCAGCACGTCGATAACCTATGATCCATTAGACTTCTCTAAGAAAGTCTTCAATTAGTTATAATTTTTGACTTATAATCATATCTGGATTATACTTGTATTGTTCATTTTTCTGATTTTTCGGATAAAAAGAAAAATTCGCGCAGAAGATAAAGTGCGCATGTTTATTAAGAAAACAAATATTCTTTTATATAAAATTAATTATTTGAAAATAGAAATCAATTGATAAGAAGAAAGTTAAAATATTCAATCATTTTTTCTCTATGAATAATCACTTGCTTTTCGATATTTTTAATTATTTTAATTATAACTCGATCCGATTATTAATTTCAAACATATCAGAAAGTTTATCTCACTTAACCTCACGAATTTCTTATTCCAATGAGAAAACACACATTATTTTCCCAGCAGTTTCAGAATGACTAATCGTCAGATTTTAGAATTCTGTGCATTTTTCAAGAAGTTAATACTTACAGAATCAAATCCTTGTGAGCTGCTTTTTTAATTCAGAATTCTACTTATTAGATATTATGCAGACCCTCACTTACAAGTCTTATAACATCATAGATTGAATTCGAATTATATCATTTATAGTTTTTACCAGTGACTTTGTTATTTATTAAGAAATCTTCATAGTATGATCGTTCGAAAAAATTGAGGGCATAATAAGGATAGCGCACTATTCGTTAGTGACAGTATCCAGGTTTATATTGTTGTTACTTGGAAAATTCACCGTGACTGAGGCAATATATATTATATTACATTACATGTAATTTATCTGATCTCTAGATGTCACTACATAATGATAACAGGATATAAACGTTTTCTGAAATTTTAAGAATAGAAATTATAATTATTTCCAGTGCTTTTTCGAAAAAAGTTCAACATTTTAATTTTATTGTCGACAAAAATTTCGCAATACCAAAATATGGACTATGTCCTCATATGATTGTTGACGATTGTTGTTTATTTATATTTTCTTTTGAGTCTATCAATTTCTGTTATTATTTTGTGAGCATTTTAACTAGTACTGTGACATTACAGTGCTAGATAGAAGTGATTAATTAATTCGGAGCATCAGTCAACCAGTTTATTATATATTTGGCTTCATACTCTTCGAGTAGCTGTGGATTATTTTACAAATCTGTCTTCATATTCAACTTCAAGTAATTCAAAACACACCAACAATCATCAGAACAATTCATTGAATTTCTCTTTATTATCATTATGGCCGGTAAACATTTTTTGTGAAACAAGCGATGATTACGAAGATTACGAAAGCATCAATCTACAGCAAAACCAACAAACAATTATTAAGCAGCAAGAACAGGAAGATAAAGCCGAAAATAACTCTTTCCACAACAAAACCAATTATCTGGCTACAAGGCAAATGGTTGACAATATTAACAACAATAATGAGCAACGACAATATAGTGCTGGAGGAGGAGCAAACAGCAACAATATTGTTAGTCGAAAAAAATCAAACAACGGTAAGAGCAAAAGAATATATATAAATAATATACGTGTAGATTATATTTCATATGTAGTAAATTGTGGTGGCAGTGGTGGTGAGTTGACTGCTTCACCAAAATATAATAAATTAAATTCACGTGGATATAATAAAGAAGTTCAACAACAAAAACAATATCGAGGAAATAATTACAGTCGACAACAACGAGATGCTGTCAATTCGAGATTTCAAAATGATGTGCAAAGCAATGTTTATCGAGTGAGTTCTTTTTGCGACTTCACGATACTCCGACAATACAATGTTTGGTTTGTTGATAACACACTGCATTTATATGAAATGTAAATAAAAAACTGAGAATAGCCGAATAAATTTTGTCGTGAAAAGCTTAAAAAAGGATTAGCTATACTAGACTTGCGTAATTTTCGCTCATAAAATAGCTTACGAAAATCAATCAAACGCCATCAAGTTTTCTGAGCGTTTCACTCATGCATTGATCTTTAATTAAAATCATGATATAGTTTAAATGCAATTGAGAATGGTTATACGTCAACCTAAAATATCTTTTGGGTTTCTGATACTCAGGTCAAGTTGGAAGTGAACAATAAAACCAACTCATTCATCCATCATGAATTTTTTTTCGAATTCTAACCAGAGACCGAAACGAATGACAAAAATATCATTCGGCCCGATTTGCCTTTTCCGGACATGGATTCGGATTCGATTCTGCTCTTCTGGTGTCTCAAAATTTTCATACAATTAGGTTCCGATTTTCAAGACCGGGATTCGGACTCGAGTCGGCTTTCCCGATCACCCAAAATTTTAATTCGATTCGACTCGGCTGGAAAAATGAAAAAATCAATTCGATTCGATTTCGTTTTTTTAGCCAAATCGAATTGAATTAAACTTTTGAGTGGCCGGGAAAGCCGAATCGAATCCGAATCCCGGTCTTGAAAACCGGAACCTAATGGTATGAAAATTTTGAGACACCAGAAGAGCAGAATCGGACCGAATGATATTTTTGTCATTCGTTTCGGTCTGTGATTCTAACGGATCTTTTTAATGAACAACCTTTTCTTTTTAATAGAAAGAAACGAACGAAAATTTTGATTTTGTTGATGTGGATGATGAAAATCTTGATGGCGGTCCTAATGAACTCGTTGATTTTGATGACCAATATAGAAGTAAACGTGGTGGTATTGGTGCAAAAAAGACAAATATGAGTCATTTACTTAATTTTCATTATCTTGATAAACAACGTGTTAATGTACGTGGTAATCGTCGATCATTGAATTCAAATTATTATTCAAATAATAAATGGTCAACTAATGGAAATTCATCGAGTAGACAATCATTTTCGAAAGAACAATTCCTTCAAGCAAAGTAAATCGACATTAGTTGTAAAAACAATTCTTTTTTTTCTCATAAAAAACACTTTTAGTTGTCAATTTATTGTTCAAGCAAGTTCCAATGATTATTCAGTTCATTTTACTGATCCCGATTTAGCTATTGATTGGTCACGTGTTGAACAAGTTCGTCTGCATTCAATGCATACACTTAAATGTCCCATCTGCTTATCTGAACCACAAGCAGGAAAAATTACACGTTGTGGACATGTATATTGTTGGTCATGTTTACTACACTATTTAGCATTAAGTGATAAACCTTGGAGAAAATGTCCTGTTTGTTCAGAATCAATTTACAAACAAGATATTCGAAGGTCTTCAAATACGAATGAACTTTTTATAATATCTGTATTTTTAATAATTTTAGTGTTCGTGGAATAATTTCGCGATCTTTAAAACCAGGTGATTGGATTACATTTCGTTTAATGTGCCGTGAACGTGGTTCAGTACTTTTTTATCCAAAACGGGATTTCAGTAATATAGTATTAAAATCTGAACCAGAACATCTTATAATGAAAGCAAATACACAACAGTATGCTCATTTATTATCGGCTGATGATGAAACAATTTTAAGTGAAATAATTGAAAAAGAAAAATTTGAATTATTGAAACAATTAGAAGATGATGGAGACCAACCGGAAGTTTGTTTTATTAAACAAGCTCTCGAAGAAAATAATGTAAATTTTAAATATTATTTTCTTCTTGATTATCGTTTTTTCTTTGTTGTTTATAGGAAAGAGAAGCACTTATTCGACAACGAATGGAACAAACAAATAGGATGAATGAGATTAAATTAACATCGAAACCAATCAAAGAAGAAGAAAATTTACTACCAAAGAAAGTATGGAAAATACATGAACATAATCACAAAACAAAAATTGTCTTAATACTTTGTTAAACGCGTAGAATACCCTCTTCATGAGATGTTGCATCTATAAACACATTTACATTGTAAAGAAATTCTAATCCTTAAGCCATATTACACACTGAAAGATCACTGTTTTGAGCTTGATTAAACTAAAAATACATTTTGACATCGTGAAACTGAAAAAAAATTCTGAACATAGACCGACAATATCAAGTATTGTGCTTTCATGATAGATCTTAATACTGGTAATGCCATTGTATTGTATGCTCGTTAGATAAAACGAACAAATAATGGAAGAGTAGAATATCTATTTTTCATTCCCAAACTAAATATTAGTCTTAAATTGGGCAAAAAATTGAACTTTTCGTTCCTAGTAAATTAAGGAAGTATACTAAGTTGAATGTTATTTGATTATGTGCGTTTATTACCATCTACTATCAGAATGAATATGTTGATTTCACTTCCAATTTGGAGTCATATCGATCAATGGCGGAAATATTTTTTTCTATTCTTAATATTCATGTTTATTTATTTGTTTGTTAACATACTTGCATAATCTTAAAAGCAAGAACATACTCTATTAATGAATTTCTATAAGAACAAATCTCATGCAGTTTTCCATACGTTTTATTAACGTGATTTTTTCGATTATAATTAGCATTCAAATTTGCATAGTACTTATAATTTTATTTTTAGCCTACATTAACTTATGACAATGCTTTTGATGATGTCGTAGATTCAAAACAAGAAGAAAATTTGAATATTATTACCGAACAAAACTCTGCTTCAAACGCATGTTTACCTACTGGTTTGTATTTTCGTGTGGATAAATCTCTTTGTATATTCATCTCTGTTTTTTTTAAACAGACACAAGTCTTTTGTGTGCAGCAGCATCAGTGTCATCCAATGTATCACCAAGTCGTTACTACTTTTATAAAGGTGAGTGAATTTTCTCGAATGAAAATATTAACAAAAAATACTTTTATTCTAGCTGATGATATCTATCATGCATATTTAAATGGTTTAAATACGCGAATTTTATTGCATGAATATGGCTGTTATCAACAATGCCCTGATGAACTGCGTGTTCGAGTTGAAGCCATCGAAAGTTTTTTTATGACTGGAGTTAGTTTTAAATATAGAAACAATATTTTTTAACAATTAAATATTTTTTTCTTACTCAACTAAAGGAATTTCGATCACAATTTCGTTCAATAAGTCATTTACCATTGACATGTGAGTTTCAAGTTATAGAAGTTCGTCTTAATCCACCTATGATCTCTCCAACAACAATGCAAGTGTTCAACGGTAAAATTTTTGCTGCTGTATTATTAATTTTTTCAAATTCTTTTATCTAAAATTTAGATGAAATTCATCGGCGTCGTCAATTGCGTACACGAAAAGAACGCCTAGAAAAAAGAAGACAACAACAAGCAGAATTCGTTGAGAGTCAAAAACTATTTTCTCAATGTACATAAACTTTGAATATTCAAATGAAAATTTAATTTTAACTTTTGTTTTATTCCAAAGATCCGCCTGAAATGATGTATATACCACAAGAAACTTTTCCTGTAAATGGAACAAATTCAATGGAAGAATTTCCAGCCATGATTAGTAGTGCAACATCAGCATCTATTCAATCATTCGATGAAAATTTGTCACCTCCAACGACTGTTTCATTTGCTCAAATGCTTAAGCAGCAAGCTCCGCCTGTACTGAAACCATCTACAACCAATAAATCGACTAGTGAGAAAATTGCAGTTGCCGAAATTTCGAAAAAAAAGAAAAATAAACAAAACAAAAAAGACAATTATGAAAGTGACGAAGATCATATTAATGAAGATGAAGCATATTATGCAGCTACACCGAATTTTCATTCAAGCTTTAGTCTTGAAGGAGTTTTTGAGCAGCTTAAGCTTGGTTTGTATTCTATTAATATTTTACTTTCATAAGAAATAAAAATGTTTTGCTTTTGTATAGTAAATGATGAAGAAAATCTTGCATCAAAACTCGATGAAACCACAAGCAAGGCCACGACTAAAAAGAAAAATAGAAAACATAAACAAGTATTGTTTGCTACTGGATTAGGTAGTCAAGTGAAATTGTGAAAATATACTATTGATGAAAGAGCAAGTTGTTGTTTATCTATCTGTTTTTTTTTCTTTTCTATTCGCCTTTAGTTTTCTCTATTTCTCTGTTTTTGAATAAATATGCATATATATATATATATATTCCCGGCGCAAACTTAACATCTACTTTTTTCTATTGATCTTTTAAAGAAGATGCATCAAACAATATTGGTAAGAAAATTGTAGAAGATTTTTTTTTGTTAAATTCAAAATCTACAGGAAACACTCCTGCCTGTCAATAGATAATATAATTTATTTGAACATTCTAACGTGTTGCAAAAGCTCCTTAAGATTATTTAATTTGAATGATTAACAAAAACATATTTGTCAAGAAGATTATAATTAATCATAGTTTCGGAGCGATCGATAGATTTTCACTTTTTTTTATTTTTTCCTCTTTACATAGTTATATATTGGTATCGGCAATACTTAGTAACCAATGATTAAAATATAAATGTACCAATACCAAAATATATTCCGTTGAAATTGAAACGATCAGGATAGTTATATTGATGCAGTCAACAGCAACGTTTTACTGTAAGATTGTAGAAGATGAAGTGCTAAATTGTGAACTATCAAAGATAATTCTATAGTTTCAAAATCGTTTTTCTTCATAGTCAGTTGTGAGACAATCACCAGATGGATTAAATCATAAATATAATTAGAATATTAACAATACAATTAAGTTTCATGCTGGAAGACAATAGTTTGATGACAAAGTTTTTTCCTGTCATTTTAAACTATTACTATAAATCATTATGTTTACTAATTACATCATCTCTGAATGATTTCGTTGCAAAAATTTATCAAAATTTCTATTTACATTTCTCTTTTATGTTGCAAAATTAATATTAAACATCCACTACATAGTATAGTGTACCAAACAACTAACGACACAACATAATTCATTGATTTCAAATTAAATATTCGCTAGTCAAAATCACTGAAGTTCTTAAATATTTATACTGTAATTTGTCACGTTGACAAATAATAAGTGCTCAATTGTATTATGCACGTAGTTGTCATGCGATAATCAGTAAAATTGTATCAAAAACTTTTTATGTCAACAGTAAATATTCTCACCGTCGACTCGAAAATGACTAGCACGACAGCATAACAACGATACGTTTGAAGTTTATTTATCCTATTTTTTGAGTGACAAAGCATTGAATGCAAAAATTCTTATTAGAAATATATCAACTGGTCAGCTTCCTTTGTTTTAATCATGAAAATACTTTTTACTTCACATGTCGTCTTCATGTTTTTGAAAACTGATTTCAAAATAGGTTTATTCATGGTTACATAAAAATATGAACTTTCATATTGTACGAAGCAATTATAAACGAGCGTTACATTATTAAGAATAATATTGAAATATATTAGTAATAAGTGAACTATATTCAGTTCTATGTATTATTTACTATATAATATAAATTATCATCTTAAAAGATTTTGATATTTTGAAATGTTCTAAATAATTGAAATAAACCGACGTACAATTCTTTTTTTTCATTCATCGAGAGCAAATAGGCACAATTCTAGTTATTTTGAACTGCATCAAATGAGCGCCATCTGTTATTTGTTATATATTATGGTTCTATAGGGTGGAGGGTGTATCAAGGGTGTATTGAAGTTAGAATGGTATAGAGATTACACAGATTTTATACTACTCGATTGTCTTCTTATCGGATTCATATATCATGGGACCAAAACGAGCAGACAACATTAGTAAAGGAAGTAAAATATCATTAAGTGGCCCTAGTGTATTAGGTATAACCGGTGCTGGATCAGTACCAGAGCAAGGTCAATAAATCTATCTATCTTTTTTTATGCAAATGTATATCTTCTATTTTCTGTAGAGACTCAGCAGTTTGTTGGTAAATTTGCTGCTGATTTAGAACAATGCTGTCGCGAACCATCTTTAACTTATCCTATAACTATTCCTGTTTACATTCGCGGTAATCCAACACAATCCGCACAAATTCAATCTGCTACATCCCAAAGTCAACAGCAGCAGCAACAACAACAACAACAATCGCAAACAGTAGCACCATCTGGAGCGTCAGTTACTCCATCAGTAGTTGCTGGTGGTCTTGCTGAAGAGCAACTATCAACAATAGGAAAGAAAACATCTCGCGCAAGAGTGCCCTCTGTTAGTCAAAGTGGAATTTTAATAGGAATAACAGGCGCCGATAGTGACAACAGATCCTTTAGTGTTGCAGGTACATTCATTATCGTATAGATAACCTAGATAATTTTTCTCTTATATAGGACAAGAACAATCCAAAGTTCCTTCACCGTCCTATAAAAGTTTTCATCTTATTCCAGATAGTGAGTTCTATCGACCTAAATTATTGGCAGATTCAGCCAACAATGAAACAGAATCCATCGATCAAATAACAGCTCTTTATATGCGATGTATTTTGTTTTATAAAAGTTTTGTACGTCTCCCTATTATTTTTCTATACCTAGCTTGGAAACTTGACCAACGTTTTATTGATATTTTGAAAAAAATTCTACCTTTACAAGAACAACTGCATACACTTGAGTAACTTACACTTCATAAATATCATTCTCACTTTTTCTCTATTCACCTGTTCTCGAAATTTAGTTTCTGTTATGTTGGTCTTAATGACAAGACTATTTATGGATTAGTTGAGTTATGTCAAGTAATAAAAAATTTGAAGTAAGTTTTTTCTTTTTAATTTTAATAATCAATCTTATATATAAAGCACACAGTTGATTAAATTTGATTTTTACTTCATTATCAAGTATAACTATAATGGAAAAAATGCGCAGTAGAAAACAGAAAAATAGTGAAAAATAATTTTATAATCTTTCATAGGAATATTTCTCTCGATGGAAATCCGATAGCAGCAGAATGTTTTCATCTTTTAATTGAAAAAGATGACTCAAAGTAATAAATTATCTATGCGCTTTTCTTTCAACTAATATGTTCAATTTCTATAGAATTAGTCAATTATCTCTTCGTTATTGTAATATTACTGATAAAGGTGTTGAACGAATTGCTCGTGCTCTTGGTAACATTTCAAGACAAAATTGGAAATTGCTAACACTTAATTTAAGTGGAAATCGAATTGGTGATATTGGTGCTCAATCTTTAGCAGCAGTAAACAAAATACTTATTTGTTTCAATTCAAAAAAATTTTGTTTCTCAGGCATTACGTTATAACAGAACATTAATATCTCTCAATCTTTCATCGAATTTCATTAATGATAAAGGTGCTCTTCCCTTGGCATTAGTAAGTATTTCATTGCAATAGTAAATATTATCTTTATAAAATATTTCTTTAGATATAAAGAAGGGTAGGTTTTTCGTTTAGTTTTTCCTACTAATCGATTTTAATTGTATTGACTTTGTTTGATAGAAAATAGCCGGGCGTGTATTTTATCAAACATAGTCTAAAATAATGATATGTGTTATTCCGTTTAGAGTAAATTTGAAAATATTGCTTTTTGTTTTTGAATAATTTGTTTTTATTTTAACCATAAAATTTATTAATTTTTTAATAAAATAAAATTCAATGAATAGGTTCTTCGAAGAATTGTACTGACACCAGAAGAAATCATTCAACGTCGACGTATAATACTTAAACGTTATGCTGAAACACATCTAGATGAATTTCGAGTTCATGTCAGTTAGAAATCATTTAATTATTAATAGAAAAAAGTAATAATAATATTTATTATTTAAGACTAATTCACCGACTCCTTCAAATGTATCAACAAAAAGTAAATCAGGACGAACTAGTCGTGGCGATTTTAAACGTGTGGCAGATCCAAATAAACGAAAAATAAATACAGGAAGAACCTCACAAAATGTAGTATAACTGATTTTTTTCCCGTCGTTTCTAATACTTTATCGAGTTCCTTTAAACTTTAGGAAAAACGCAATCGCAATGAATCTGGTAAAGACGCACGATACTCATATTGATTAATTAGAATTCTTTATTTGATTTTTCAGATGAAAATCGTCCACCATCAGAAAACAAAGGTGATTTAAGACGAGGACGAAACGAAGGTAGTAGTGGACGCTCATCAGTGCTCAATGCATCTCCAGCAACCGGTAGTACATCTCGTCGTACAACTGCTAGTACATCAAATGCAAGTAACAAAGATTCAGGTAAGAGAAAATTCATGTTTTTATGTAGAAAATTCTTGTTTGTAAAAATTCTTTTCCATAGATCAGTCTAAAACACCTGGTCCTTCACGTATAAGAAAAGTAGCAACTACTGCTAATGTAACAACAAAAAAGAATATTTCAATAGTCAAAGAAGAAGATGAAGATGCAGCCGAACAAGTAAATAAATTCTTCTATTTTATATTTTCTTGCAAACCACAATTTAACATGCACATTATATGCATATATCCTACAGGAAGCACTCAATTATTTGAGTATTCTACTCGATTTCTTTGTAAGTGAAATCGATTTTATATTCTATGTTATTCATAACTGTAAATCAATATTCACTAACCTTGCTTTTGTTCTATATTATTGTTCTTTTGAATCCGTCGAAGAAAATGAAACAAATCTTAAGTTTTATTTAATCATTAGGGTCGTTCAAATGATTTGTCATTATCAGGAAAAGTATTCAATGCTCTGTTTTGTGTTCTTTTTTCTTCTTCTTCTTCTTCTTGTTTGCTGGAAATTTTCTTTTAAAATAATTTAAGAAAAATAAGTTACCTGAATTCTATTCTGGTTTTTTTATTCCACAGTCAGTATTGTTACCGATTCAAGGAAACGAACGTGAAAATCCATTACTTGAAACAAATGAATTTGAATCACAAGATGGTGAAATGTGGTTGAGAGGAAACTTCGTTCTTCTAAGCTTAAATTTATCACGTAATCATAAAATTTTGCAAAAATTATATTCCTGAAGAAAAAAATTAAATTTTTCTTTAAGGAAATTATCTAACAATAGATAGTGTTCGAGAATTTCTTCTTTCACTTGAACAACAATCGGCATTTACAAATGCCAATGATATATTCAATTTATCTTCAACAGCAACAGCTCCATTAATGAACTTTTCTGGTCTTTGTCGGCTTGAATTAAAGGTGAAAACATATTTTTCAATCTATGAAATATAAACAACGATTTCAGGCACTTGGCAACAGAGAAAAATTGAGTATCTCTCATAGATATTTTTTTTTACAAGAGTCATCTGTAAAATTTTGAGTTAGATTTAAGGCAACACTCACGATAGACGTATGTATAATAAACTTGATCAGTTTTATATTTAGAATTTTATTCACAAAGAAATTTAAAACTTATTTAAAACAAATCTAAAGTATGAAAATGACTCTTGTTTATTCTATAATCAATGTCTAATAATTGTTATAATTTTTGTTATCATACATTAAGTTGATTTCGAAAGAAAATTTCAATACATTAGATTTGAGAATGAAAAATTTGAATTGATCAACGTTCTTCTTTCTCAATAAGATGTTTCTCGATGGTTTACAAAAAAGATTTATTTTTTAAAGGGTATGAATGATATTTCGACGAAATCATCTGAATATCAATCCATAGAAATATTACTGACGCAAAAAAGTCCTTTGCTACGTTTTCAACAACTAAGAGAACGTGAACCAAAAGAATCGTTCGATTTACAATCAATTCAACAATTGCAACAGTCAATATCAGAGAAAACAGCAAATACATTAGAAAAGCCGCGAACAGGGTCGAGCTCTAAGCCTACAAGTTAGTCAAATAAAATAGGACAGGAATTGAAATGTCGATTTCGATTATTTTAGATCAACGACCAACATCTCGATTGAAAGAATAAACTTCTTTGTTTTTTTCTTTTTTCTTTTATAACTAATAAATATATTCTTACTTATGATTGATAACATAATAATGATGCTTAGCTCATTGATTATAGATAATAATTATGTCAGGCTCTACAAAAAATTTTGTTAATAACAAAGTCAGCGCTCGTCGAATCATGGTATTTGGCAAATCAAAGGATCCTGATTCACATCAAGTGAAACAAATACTTGAACAATATTTGTTACCAAAAGGTATATCGAACATTTTAAGTGAGAAGAAATTTCTAAATAAATTTTTTCTTATGGAAAGATTCTTATGAATGGATTGATATTGAAACAAGACAAGATTGTAAACAAATGGAAAATTATTTTCGTACTCTTTGTTTTACCGATCGCCGACAGGTATTGTAAAAATAAAAAATAAAAGCACATCTATTTTAAGTTTTTTCTTTTCATGAAACAAGACTCCGTATATTTTTATCGATCAACTTTACTTTGGCTCTTTATTTGAATTAAATCTTTCTCATAAAGATGGATCATTGAAAAACGTCTTACTTAAATAGAAATAGAATAAAAATCTGTAGTTTTATTTTTCTCTTAGCTCTTAATATTGTATGCTCAGAAACTTCATTCGGCACGTTTAATGAATTATATTACATACCTATTCAAAGAGGATTAAATGAAATATTCGCCTCGGCTATTCGATCAATACCATGAAAAAATTGCTTTGAAAAATGTATTGTATGGGAAGAAACCATTAAAAATTAATACGATTCTTGTAACAATATTCAAAATATTAATGACAACTTGGGCCGAAGAAAATATTTTCTTTTCTTTTCTATCACATATATATAGATAAAGATCAATAAATATTGGAATCTCATTGATTTTTAGAGTATTTCTAAGTTTTATACTCATAATAATAAAATTGAATCATATTTTACTTGAATAGCTAATTTTTGTAAATGTTCTTTTGATGAAATTTTCAAATGATATCATAATTAGATGTGTGATATGGATAAAGAAAAAGATTATTCAAATAATTTTCTTTTACAATCTATCAATTTCAAGTTTAAAAGGACACTTGAAAATTATGTATTGGTACAGGTAGTTTTCTTTTTTATTATCTAAATAATGAATCGATTGAAGTTTATTTTGATAGCCATAAAAAAATAATCACTATTGTTGTTGAGTTATGATATAAGTTCCACAAATATTCTAACTATTATTTCTTGAGTAATAACGAAGCACACAATATGACTCAGAAGAAAAGAAACTTGAAGTGTATCATAGAAAGTTGGTTCTCAAATATATTATGTTGTATATTTTCTTTATTGGCAACACGGACACTTTTAAGTGTCATTTTTTTTGTATTGCTTCACTTGTATGAAGGAAACGACAATAAAATGCCATTTCAAGGTTCACAAACACATATGCCCATGAATGATCATCGATATTATTATTTCGCTCATAATAATAATCATTTTATTTGTTAAGTGAATGGTTGATTCTTTTTCCCTCTTTATAGACAAAATACGATGCATATTGTGATCATCTGAATAAGGAAAAGTAGTTAACGTATCTTGTGCATGGAGTTGGAAGGCTAGCGTCTCGTTCGCGATCATGACACTTATAAAATTTTAAGAAGAAAAACAATTGAAAACAGTCGTCATCATCATCATCATCTGTGATATTTACATTGGTGTACATTTCTACGATTGCCACACGAAGTCTTTCATCATTCTACCATTTCTTTTTTTTTTATTCAAATTAAAGCTGATTTATAAAACGAAAAAAAAATTGTATTTGTTGGTTTTTGTTGTATATACAAAATAAGTGTAGAATATTTAAATTAGTTTTTGTTGTTCAAGTTCATTCATAATTTGAGCAAAACATTCACTTCCGCCAAATAAACGTTGTGATCTTGTTCCTAATGGTATTTCATCGATAGTTGTTGATGCTGGTGTTAATATTCTACTTCGATGTCTTCTATAATCGACTTCTGTTGATATAATAGATGAAGATGAACCATTTTGTTTACGTAGTATTGATCGAGTATGATGACCACCAACTTGACCATGTTGATGAAAAGTTTTCTGTGAATTCGATAAATCCAAATCAATCGGTGTAGTTTCCGGTGTCGTATCATGATGATTATTGGTGGATGATTCTATATCTAATTGTCTAAGTTTGGGTAAAATTCTTGTTTTTAACATAGCTGATCGCCAATGTGACGGTTTTTGTTTTCCTATTGTTTCTGAAAGTAATTGTTCATTATTAAAATCAACATGACGAGATCGTGGCGATGTGAGAGGTTCAGAAGGCTGTATAGCTGGTAAAACAGAAAATTTATTTCGTGTTGGTGATGATATTTCTGCTGAAATAATATTCTCTGAAAAACAAAAGAAAAGTAATCTGATTAGTTTTTTTCTAAGCTGTTTTTGCTAACTGTTTAACCTTTATTTATTGAAGTTATTGTTGTTGCTGATTCTGACGAATGTCCTCTGGGAGGAATATTTTTCTTTAATTTAGTTTTGCGCGCTTTTTTATTTCGCTTTCTGGGCGATTGCTGAGGTGCTTTTGTTTCTGTTATTATCGATGTGTCGTATTGTTCAGTATCAACTTCTAGTTCTTTTTGAAATTGATATACATACCAAGAGCATGTTGATACAAGTTGCTCGGCTTGTGTTGAATCAATACCCATTTCACACAACGAATGCTTTAATAACTCATGTGTAAATATCGGTTCACGGTTTTGTCTGGACGATGCTTTCAGCCACATTGCATAATCAATATATTTAGCTTTTAAGGCTGAAACGTTTTCGGAAACACTCGTTGATGTTGTTGCGGATGCCATTGAAGTATGTGATAGAGTAGGAGAATGTCGACCACGACGTCGATGTATTTTTGATGAAACAGTGGGTAAATGTAGACTAGATGGATTAGACGATGATACTACTGGTTTTGAAGCAAACATATTTTACCTTTTCAAATGAAAAAAAAGAAATTTAATGAGCTGAATATTCTTGAAAAAATCAGCTTAAATTATATTGCAAGGGTTTGTTGTGATCAAACTGCATTTTTTGTAATCGTCCTCATTGACAAGTCGTAAAAATACTCGAACATCAGTGCTGTGTGTTACTTTGTTTCTTTCTCCCTGTTTCTCTTTGTCTTTTTCACGCTAACTATGGGAATAGATGATGACGAATGGCTTGTGCTCGACTATACACTCATCTTACCATCGAAAACTTGAGTACGTATAGTTTAAACTGTTTTTTTTACTGTTGCTATTCTTCATTTCGGCTCACAAACCAATCAATTCAGAAAGAGAAACAGGAGAGACCGAAACAACAAAAAATTCTTACTAAATAAACATTAAAAATGCATGCGCATTATTTGGATATCGTCGATGTAAAATGAGAAGATTGTGATCCGTTATGAATGTAGAAGTTCAATAAGATGTAACAGAAAAAGAAGAACACTTGACTTTACTTTAGCGGCGTTATAATACTTATGAACGTCATTTACAAAAAAAAACCAAGATCTACGGTAATTCGAAGAAAAAAAGGGAATCCCATGTTTGGCGAGGAGATAGTATTTATACTTTAGAAATTAGTTAGATGGGTTATCTAGTACTTACGTTCGATAAAATAATACGTTTGCTTTTATGAATATGCTTAGTACAACAACTCAGTTAACGTGAAACTCTCAAGTAAAATAAATGTCTTTCATATTGTATGAATCGTGGCAGAGAGAGAGAGAGTGTGTGAGAGTGAGTGGGCAGTAAGATCAACAGTCGTTGTTTTCTGTCTTTATTATTTTTAGTTAATAAGTAAAAATTTGCACATTTATTATTGTTAACGTATAAGTAAAAGTTTGCACAATATAGAAAAATAAGTATTTAACAAATCATCACGAGATTGCCTTTTTCTTTTGACTAACCACCAATGGATCTGCTACTGATTTTCATCTCGATACGAAATAAATTTCATGTTGTTTGTCATTTTATATATAATTCAAGATATTTTAGTGTGTCATATCATCAATCACTAACATGAAATAAATAATTTTGTGACAGTACTTCAAGAAAAAGGGAGAGGCAGTATTATGGTGTACTAGAAAGAAAGTGAAAAGGAGAAAAATTCAAAGATACAGCAAAAACGCATTGAAGAAATAGAATCCTTTCAAATGGCACTGATTTAAAGACAACAATGGAAATTGTGCTCATTCTAATATTCCAAAAGCAATATAATGATATAATAAATACTAAATTAAATTGTTCTTAGCGAACAAATGTAACCCAAATATACTTTTACAGTGCAAAACAGTGTTATGAACTTTCAGCACGAATTCAATGTTTGATTCAGATCCAATTTTTTTATACAATACAGTTTTAAAAGGAAAACTTTTCACATTTCATTCATACAGTTCTATTAATAAAACGTCCTTTGTACGTAAATTTTCATTTATTCTCGCTAAAATGATAAATAAGAAAAGATAAAAGGTAAGCAATAGATATCTTATTTCCTAAATAGAAAATAGAAAAAATCAACAACAACAAGAATCGATAGGCACGTATAAATTTCTCCTGTAATATCCTACTCAAATAATTTATCATTCTATCAGCATTCATGTATAATTCATTATCATATTCAAGAAAATGTTTCACAATATTTTTTTAATTGATGTAATACGCTGAATTTCCTTTCATTGATATACTTTTAAAATCATAGGAGGAAAATAAAAGAAAACTCTTAAGAAGTATTTGAAGTCAACTGAACAAACGGGTTTTATCTTTTATTGGGATAGAATGATTATCATGATGTGAATCAATAGAAGGAACACCAAATGATACAAAACAAAATGTTTGATCTATTATATCACTTGACTTATATAGCACTTATATCCCATCTATTTAATGGCCAATAATATCAATATATTTTATAATTCTAATTGATTCATTAAAACTAAATAAAATTGATTTCACAACTAAACAGAAACTATGGTGTGTGTGTATGTGGCTTGGCTGAAAACTACAGCATACTTATGTGGATAACCAAACTTTCTTGAATGGATAAGCGTAAATATGAATGTTAATTAGATGAAGTGCATGCCGATCTAAATCCCATCTACGCATACTTTCACAAAATAAACGAAATCAAATTATTAGCATTATAAGATTATCATAAATAATATTTTAAAAAATGTGAAAACCTTGGATTCAAATCCGAATGTTATGTGTACTTCCAAAAATGAAGCTGAAGAAAGATTGATTTTCATCAAACTATCTAATAGAAGCGACCAGCAGTGTCAATATACATGAGTTTTTCATAGTTTTCGGAAAGTGCGATATTGAGGAAACCTTAAATGCACCATGTTTACCTCTGTAATATACCATCATTTAGAGTTCTTGACAATTTCTATCTGCTTCAAAGAAACAACGTTAGTTCTATGAGAAATAAACACATATCATACAGACAAAGTGTCGCTATACGTGAGTCTTTTGTAGCTCTGGGCACTGAGATATTGACGAAATTTCAAACACAGTATATTTACCTCTATTGTTTAGCATCATTTTGTAGCCCATGAAATTCTCTATCGGGTGGTATATAATAGTTGCATTTTCATTTCTACTATGAAAACAATTTTGATTTGCAAAAATTCGAATAGGTCAATATTTGCATAGAAAATAATGATATCCGAGATATTGATGAAATAATGCGGTGTACAAAATTTAATGACAATCGGATTAGCATTTCAGGAGTTACCGTGTAAACGGTCCGGACGAACACACTGACCAATTCTATAGTGTACTCAAAAAGTGAGTACACAAAAACAAGCATATTTTTCTGATGCATGATAGGGGTTGTATCATTGATTAGTCATTCTTATATGTTTTTTCTTTCGCCACTCAGCAGTATCAAAACTTTTTTACATATCGCAATTATTATATTGAGGAAGAGAAGAGCGTGTAGTTCATGTAAATAAACAATCAATTGAAGATGCTCAGATGATTCTGACGCTCATGTTCTTGTATGAGTGCATGTCACATCAATATTGTTTCTTTTTATTTTTGAAGACATATGCACAATGTCTAGAAAAATCTCACACCAACAGAAGCAACATGATTAATAAACAAGCAAACAAATCACATTAATTACATGCATAATATCAGCAGTCTAAGATTAATATAAGATTTTAAGGAAGCAAAAAACGTTGAATCCGGTTATTATTACTGTCTGATACATAAAGATATTGTTCTTCATAATCTATTGCTATACTATAGGTCTTATTCAGTAAATATGGTGCTTGACCGGCTATCCCGTGGGGATTTCCTGCAACAGTAATTCCGAATGTTGCATTTCTTTGCCATTTTTGAATTCTATTATTGCTAGTATCCGCAATGTAAACTGAACCATCTATTCTGGAAAGAAATACATCCGTTGGGGCATAAAGCTGATTAGCAGTCACACCTGCTCCATTGCCACCAGCAACCGTCACTCCCGGTCCTGTGCCATTCAAAGCAAATCGTTGTATACGATGATTATAGCGATCAGTTACGTATATGAATGAGTTAGATTCATTCAAAGCAAGAGCATATGGTATATATAAGGATTGACTATTGCTACCTGATATACCTAGAGGTGAACCAGCTATAACTGTTCCACTTGTAGCATTGGGTGCCCATTTAGTCACCCAATTACAGAAATAACTCGCAATATAAACATTTCCCATACTATCAACAGCAATTCCAGTTGGATAGTATAGCCAAAACATTGAACAATTAGAATGGGTGACACCATTTGATGGTATTGTTTTATTCGTTGGCCATATAAATGCAAGACTTATATACATAACAGTAAAATAAACATTTGAAGTTCTATTGCCGAGATAGAGCAATGTCGGTCAACTGCTATAACTTCTAAGTGCATGACCTGTGCGATTGTTGATGTAGAAACTATAAAGTTTATCACTATTATCTCCGACGTATAATGTATTATTGGAGCCTAATAAGATGCCTGCCTGATTAATTAAAAGTGTTTGGTTTGTACTTGATGAGCCATTACACCCGCCAGCTACCGTTATATCGAAGGGCATTGTTAATGCATTTGTTGTGTCTATAAATGAATAAAGTTGAATAATTAATCAGTTTAAATTAAATTTATCTGATATTTTATCTACGATTCGTTCACTCTTTAGTTTGAACTGAGTACGACTTCATACAATAAATGATTTTGTGCTTACTGTCAAAAAATAATGGAAGACATGTTGGAAAATTTCCATAACAATCTGTTGTACAAGTGAGGTTCAAATCCGAACGGCAGGCATCCTGTTACTCGCATGTGCCATTTTCAAATAGTTGTAATGCACATAGAGATCCATTCCAATATGTATGTACTGGATATTGGCATAGGTTTGTTTCCGCAGAGCAGACTTCGTATCGATTTCCTTTACATGCTTGGCAAAGTTGATTATTAATTGATGAATAAATACTTGATGAAATACTAACAACGCCAACAATAGATGTTGGTGACGATGATAAATTAATAGATCCTGTTGTAGAATCACCTTCAAATAGTCGACATCGTTTTGATATCAAGTCATAGTCGAATATACGACAAGATGATTCTTGATTGCATGCTGCTGAACAGAGAAATTTAGTTTGAATGTATTTCGTTGCTATTAATTGAACATTATTGATTGGTGTGTATTCGAGACCCATAGAGGTAAATTTGATGTTCGATTGATAAACGCCATATATCGATGAAGTGATACTGATCATAAGAACAATGAAGAACATCTTTCTGTTTTTATTAGAACTGAAAGAAAAAATATTTCTTTGGTATTGACTGAGTAGAAAAGATATTCAACTTGTCATAACTCATTAATTTAACGTCACAATGGATTGTAACTTATACTGTAGTAAGATATGTGATAGTTCTACCTTTAGTGAAAATTTCATTTCATTAGGTCAAACTGTGACTATACCCTAGAAGGATAGAAAGGGATGGCAATGCAGTCAGTTAAAATGACCTCTATGATAGGTGCCTATCACATAAACTCTGTTTCTCGAGAAATTTCTTACTTAGAACAAAATATTTCCAATTGTCTCTGTGAGCTAGACAACGCGCTTTATAATGATATGATCCTTTTTTTATAGTATTGTTCTACAACAATTCACCGCCGTACCATTAAAGTAAGTCACTCAGTGCTTGGTTACGCATTCATCAGTTCTTTTCGGCACTCATCTGAAGAGCATAATTTTTAGAGTTATTATTACAATAACGGGAGCTCCGTTGACGTCAAACTGTAGCTCAATCTACGAGGAAATATCGATTACTACCGCCTTTTTAAATGACGTCGTAGTATTTAAAATATGATAGTAGACAAAAGACCTTCTTTTTACCATTTTAGCAAAAAAACGATTGATTTTAGCTTGGTACTAGCATTTATTCTCGTTTTTATCTAAATCAAATGTAATCTATCGATATGGTATATAGGAAAATCTATAAAACAGTTTTATATGAATAAGTTCTATTGGCTTATGCTCAAGAAATGCTATGCTCAACATTGGCCAAGCATCGGCAATTGTTGCGTGACAGGTCGTATTACTATATTTCGCAAATTAAATATAAGAATCTCTATCGCATTTTGTTACGTTTTATTCATATGTGTAACATAATTTTAGTAGTCGTATTGCACTAGGTTTTTACTTAAAATATATCCCCGGGATAAAAGAAAAATGAATTAATCTTTTCATTAAAGATAATATCTTTTATTGAAATTCGAATCAGATGTTTTGCGAAATTTGTTTCTGACAAACGTAGGAATTTCTTTAAAACCCATGTTGCTGAAGTAGCTTAAATTTGAATAATTTCTGACAAGTATTGACTACATCTACTAGAAAAATCTGTTTATGTTTTTCTGAAAACAAAACACGGCATGTTTATTGACTATCGATACCTAATAATGAAGTCAGTGTGGTGATGTATATTTTTCTAATAAAAAATAAAATGTAACTTGCTGCGAACTGGAACTTTTTTTTCGACTACTCTTTCTCAATAAATTCTTTAGCATAATAATATGGTTTTGACGCTTTATCTAATGTCTTAATTGTGAATATATTTCATTATTTCATTTCACACATTTATAATTGGTGAATTCAAACAACTATGAGTTATTCACATGTGTGAAAATTATGGCCATGTATTCAGCGTTTTGTCAAATATGAATCAATCATCATATCAGATATTTTAGACTTGAATATAGTAGTTCTTAAAAGAATGGTACGAATTGAACAGTTAAAAAGCTGCTCGCGATCTACGATCATTGACAGTAAGTGGTGTTTATAAAAACCTCAACAACATGACGTGATCAAACTGCAAGAAAACAAATTACGAATCCATATGAATCCTGCCATATATATAACATGTTGTTCATTACTTTTTCGAATTTAAGACACTTTTTGTACAATAATCCAAATCATGTGTTTTTGCCTAGTAATTATGTATGAAAACAAAGAGCAATATTTTTCAAATTTATTCGTTCATCATTATACTTTCATTCTGTTTCTGTTTCTGTTTTAATAAACTATATAAGATCATACTTTTATTCAAACTTGTAAATTTGATTATTTACCTTCAGTATTAATTAATTTTCTCCAACAATAGAATCTGTCATATTGATATACTATTAAAAGTGATAATTTAATTGCTATCATGTTAATTATGACAAAGAAAAATGCGCTTTGATCTTCATGATCACTATTTCGTCACATTTTTTCGTTTCTTCTCTTTAAGGAACGTTTTGAACTCTTACGATCGTTATAGTTATTTCAAAAATAAGACTTTCAAGTATAAAAACAATATTTCCATAAAGAGAAATATCGATATACGACCTAGCATTTCAGTTAACACTTAACTTCTATTCTAAACTATATTTTATATGATCATTAATACTGAAAACATTTTAAAAGTTTTCTTTTCAAAAGTAAACCAGTGAAACGAAGAGCTATGTAGATTTTTAGTAAATAAATTTAGATTAAATTAAGATATCTTCGGATTATCATTGGTTGATATTGATCTTTCATGTTTATTTGTTTATTAGATAAAGTTTCCAAAAAAGTTCTTTGATTTAGAATATGTTTATTCGCTTATTTTGATTAAATTGAGAAGAAAACAATATGTGAGTTAGTTTCGCTTGTGAGTAGACGAAAGAAGAAGAAAAAAATAAAAGAAAAATAAAATTTTATGAATTAACCATGACTGTTCGTCGTATGTGAGATGTCCTTTTGTTACTTGCCGAAAATGATTCAATGTTTAAAGATTTTCTGCCATTTGAAATTTAGCAGACTCTTTTTTATTAGTCAACGCTGCTGGTTGTTGTTTTACTTTAACAGTTATTGGTTCATCACCAGAGTTATTATTCGAATCATCACCAGCATTGGTATCTAGTAGTTCATTTTCTCCATCGGAATATTGTTCTAACCTTGAAAAACCTTTTCTTCGATTCATCCAACCACCGAGAACTGAACTATAACTTGTATCACGGCTTTTCACATCATCGAGGAATGCATTCAAACGATTAATTTTACCTATGAAAAACAAAATTGTTCGTAAAATATCTTTCTGAGAAGAAAAAAAGAATAGATTCATACGCAAATTTCTTATTCGAATAATGCATCCAATAATCACAGAAGCTAGTACTGGAATAGCAAACGCAGCCATTATGATTACGGAAGTACGAAAATTTTTATGATTGATATTGAATCGTCTACTGAATATTTCTGTTGGAAGATCTAATTAATGGAAAAATAAATCGAATATTAAAAGTAATAAATAATTTTTACCTGTATGTTTAGATAATTCGAATTTATGTAAGGCATTAGCAGGTGATGATGCTAATTCACCAACATATATTTCACGAGCATTTGCTGATACAGTAATATCATGTGGACTTATCAAATGCTTGTAAAGAGAAAATCAATCATTTAGATTTCATGATATGATTATAACAATAAACTTACTGGGTTCGAATCAAACGATGTTAAAATATCTCCGGTTGATGCATCAACCATGTAAACTTTTTTATTTGATGTTTGTACTCCACCCGTCACAGCAAATAAAATTGTTTCTTAAAAATAAAATCATGTAAAAGGTTTCATTTAAATCTATTATCTCATTTTTGATGTCGAACCATTAGCGTCTGGTACAAATTCAATCGCATAAATTGCACCAATCTGATCTTTTTTCTCAACACGTATTTGTCGTAGAAATTCTCCTGTCGTTGAATTAAAACACTGAATACGAAAATTTTCTCGATCAGCACCACATAACAATTGTGCATCTTCATTCAATGCTATGGAATGAACAATATTCCATTCATTTGGTAGTGGAAAACCATCACCTATAAAGAGAAATTGAACTAAAAATTAAGCCAATTTTATTTGTATGTTTATCAAGAATATAATTCAATTATATGAATGGTATGGTTAAATTTTACTTTTCTCGATCAAAATAGTTTTCAGCATAATAATATCAAGTTTTTTATTATCATTCATGAAATTTCAAATTAAAAATTGACCCAAATTATAAGTACGACGATCAGATTCCAAAATAATGATTTAGTCTACGAGAATTTCTTCTCTCATGCTTAGAAAATAACCAATGAAATGATATTTTAATTCTGTTTCTAGTTAAAAAAAACCTAATCCTAATAGTTAAAAAGTCAAAGATATTATTCATTATCTAAACAAAAATGACTATTGAATCATGAAATTCAAAACAAACTTACTGTCAACCTTTGTTGTCATGGATGAACCCCATTCCATTAGATATTCTCCTTTACGATTAAATTTAATAATTCGACTATTGCAATAGCTAGAACAAAATAGGAGCTGAACCTTTTCTAAATTCCTTTACTCCATTGTAGTTTACCCGTCGGCAACAAAAAAATCTCCATTTTTCATTACAGCAGTATCAGCTGGTCGACAAAGTCGACTTGGTCCTGCACCAGATCGGAATTTTTCTCCAACAGTCAATGCTGGATGAGTTAAATTATTTGGTTGAAACATCAAAACTTGATGCATAGCAACATCCGTTAACCAAAAATTGCCTTCGTGATCTATTGTTAATCCGTGTGGCATGTAAAACATTTTAGCACCCCATCGATATTTAGTTTGTCCTGTACGAGTGTCAACATGAACGAGAACAGCGTCTTCAATCGGGCCATAGACTTCATTACGAAAGCGGTATGCATCAAAATATCTATTATAGAAAGAAAAACGATAAAAATAAAGAAGCTGATCCTTTGAAAAAAGCATTGTAGTCTTACTTAAATTCCCAATTGCGAGATCCACGATGAAATACGACGAGCTCATTATTTGCATTATTTAATGCAATGCCACCTACTTCACCAAGTTGAGCAGGTAACGATTTAACATCGGGCCAAGTTTCTACGTTTGTATATAAGTCAGCTAAACGTAAATGAATTATTTTGGCTTTCTAGGTATTTTTCAAAGTTATTAATAAAATTCTATTATGCAAAACGATGACAAAAGATAGAACAGACGAGATACAATATCGATTCTCACAGCTCATTAGTTTTGCATTATGTAGTTTGACTGTTTGTCCTTTTCCATATGTTAAATGATTTGGTAACAAATAATCATAGTTTTGTGCATCAACATATTCATAGTCGGGTAAACCAATCTGTGATAAAATTTTATTTATATCAAAATGATCAGCTTCATTGTTACGGTGACGCATATTTTCGACTTTATCTATATAATCTTCATAGGGTGAATCACCATTTGCTGATTGTATTCATATATACATCTAGTTATTAAGAAAAACAAAACACCTTGCAATAATCAAATTACCTGTAAATGTATTCACTCCATGTTCAGAATGAGCATGAGGACCACTAGGTGCTCCACTAATTTCAGGTGGCTTAAGTGGAGGAATTTCACTGTCTGCAGGAATAAGACTAAGCAAAAAAAATAATGTTTATTTTTTTAATTCTGATCTATTATCACAATTATTCAAATGTGAATATGATTCTGAGATCTATGTATGAATGAGGAAATTGCTTTTGTCTTGTAACAAAGTTTAATTACAAACAAGTGTAGTAGCAATGTCTCGTATGTCTAATGTCAAAGTTTTAAAAATCCCTAACGCAACAAATTTTGTTAATTATAAATGCAGACCAATAAGTATCTACTAGAACTGATATGAATTCTATGGTATTTTATTCAATTATTTATCATTTTTTAACAGTACTGCAGTCATTTCATACTATCCTAAGACGAAGTATTCAATCAATAACGAAATAAATAAAAGTTCAGAATGAAATGTCTTGAAAATACACTGCTACTCCTCCTACCAATTCGAAATTCATGTACTCAATTCAAGAAAAAACAGACGTCTTGCATTTTAAAGATTCAAATAACAGTACTTGTACTATTTGAAATAGAATAATAATATGCATTATTTTTAGCATAGAAAAGGTTGCAAAATTTCAATGTTAAGTCTCGTTGTATGTAATTTCTCTACGTAGTTGAATTAGTTTTATATATTTTACCGAGCAACCGTGCTGAAAGCATTATCCCAGCACATTTGAATTGGAGGCGAGTTCATTGTTTTCCCATTACTGGATTGTATTGTCGAGTCGTATGAATACATTGAATATACATTGCACATTTCATCTCTATGCGTTGATCTAGTGAATTCAATCAATATTATACTATAAATTTAATGTATTCAAAAAGAATTATCACTTAACAGATGCATTCAACTCCAGTAGACCTTTCAAACTTACCCCAAAATTATTTTTCTCTCTTCTAATCAAAATAGTAGCCATGTCAATTATTAGCTATCCTTTCAGAAAATTTTATTGAAAGTGTTTGAAACATTGCACTTTTTGACTACAATAAAAAAGAACTATTTTATTGTATATCAACAAAGATATACACCATTTTTTTCGAATGTTTCTTCGGTTCTTCATCATTCTAATAGACACAATATGATTTTAGCTTTTCAGTCAAACTATAAATGTTAGTTCTATTTTCAACCGTATGTTCTTGTGAAAACATAACAAAATCATCAGTTTGTATTACCCATGAGTTATAGTAAATCGGAAAGTAGCTAATTTTTCTCATAGATATTGGAATTTTAGAGGAATTACAAATAATAAGCTATGAGATAAATCAATAATCAGTTCGATCCTTTTAAAATCAGTCAAACAACGTTCAATAAAGCCGAAAATTTGAGCAAACACTAGAGAAATGATCTGTGTCATTGTTGCCATCGAAAAGTTTCAAATTATATGTCGTTCAGTATGTCATCCTACCTTCTCTACAATATTAGTAAGAGTAATCTTTCAGAGAAATTGATTGGACTTCGATTCCTTCAAATAGATTAATGAAAATATTAGAATATGCTTTATAAGTGTATTGAAATTGTATGAATTTCTTCATTACTGATAAATTTTTGGTCACTCTCTATATTATAAAGAAAAAGAAATATCTTACCCGACAGTAACAACGCGATTCTCAGTATTATCATAAATACATTGACCAATAACATAGTCATTATTCTGAATATCGACAGGTGATGCAAGTGGATAGAATGATTGGGGCCATTGTGGATCACCTTTAACTATTTGTGAAATCTCTCCATTACGTACTCTATACAAAGAATTAACTCGTCCTAGAATATAGAAATCAAATGAATTACAAATAAATGCAAGAAAAAAAATTACAAACCCCATTGATGAGCATGAACACGAACAGCAAAAATAGAAATCGGCGGTCCGTTGTATTGACACGAGAAAGGAGTACGAGTAGCTAAATGTGAATGAAAAGCGCGTTTTATAATCTCGGATAAACTTATATTTCATTCAGTGAATGGCAACTAGTATACATCAATACACTTACAATTTGTTTTTGGTTGCAAATAGATCAGGTCTGAACCACCTAGCATAACACCTGCATGATATATAAGTCTAAAATAAAAGGTCATTTCATGACAAAAAAAAAGAATTTTATTTATTGAAACTAATATATACGGTTTTCGAGTCATAATTAATTGATTTCCAGAATAATCATTTTTCAAAATTGATAAATAATGAATATTAATGACGACGTACTTGTAGGGAGTATTACGTCCAACATGAAATCCTACGTCTAAGTATAAAATATAGTTCTTTTTAGTTTTCCATAGATCTATTAAAGTTCAAATACTTTCAGGTAGCGTTAATGGAGGTGCATTACGAGCCCATCCATGAATAATCATTTGCTGACCAATACATGTCGGACCTCCTTTCCTATATAGTAAATATAAACGGATTTTAACACGATATCAGAAAAAGAAACAGATACTAACCAGAACTTGTCACCAGAACCTGGTTCTGCACATGCGTATGTTAACATATGATGAGCTGAATTCATATTGATCAACGGTAAATATCCAACTAAAATGAAAATCAGCAGTAGGTTTTGTGAAATTGAAATTATCAATTTACCTATGAACAATTCTTCGTCGGGTAATTTATATTGAACATATGCATATTCATCTTCCTAGAGAATAACAAATAAAAGTATAGCTATCTTCTTTTTGGTAATTATATATTTACTTGTGTTGTTTGAAAATTGTTCATAGTAATATTAACAGTGAATACATCACCTTTTTTTGGAACACTGACCGAAAAACCACAATTGATAATAGTTGCGAAGACAATCAAGATATCAACGCGAATGATTGTTTCAAAAAAAATACTATTCATTATACCGATTGTTTTCTTTTGTACAGTAGAAAAAACACTTAAAATAATTGAGCAGTGACATTATTTTTATATATTTTTTTCATGTTTGTTGACTTACGCACACTTTTGATTAGGTCAAAATACGGAGGAAAAGAAATCGAATAGAGAATCGAAAAAAAGGAATGTTACATCTGAAGTTAAACGAAATAAATTATGACTATGAATGTTCAATAGACAAAAGAAAATTATTGGTATACATAAATAACTATCTTACTAAAAAGTCATTTATCATTAATTGAATAAGAAAAACTAGAAAGAAGTACACTCTGAACGAAATCATTCTTTTGCTTTGATGAATGTATGACTGTTGAACTTGGTAGAATAGAAGAGGAACATATAGATTCATCACAAATTCGTCGTAATAATGAAGGATCAGATTCGGTACTTATTTTTATAGGCGTCTTTATTTTAGATGAGGTTTGAGATTGTTGTTCAGGTGTGGATGACTGTTGAGCAAGGATACTTGTCCAAGTGTGATGACTATTAGTAGTCGAATTGGATGGATCAGTAAAAAGAGATGAAGAGAAAAGCGAATCGAAAATATCACTTTCCATAGATGATGCATTATTAGATGTAGATAATGATTGCTGAGAATGACGTGAAGAGGGAGGAGGAGGAGGGAGAACATGATGATGAGAACGCCCTACTGCACGAAGACGTTCACGTTCATATTGTAGACGTGTAAGTGTTTGAAGATTAATTGTATTTGATGACGGTGTCAATGGGCTATTATTATTCACTGCTGCTAATCGTCGTATATTTGATAATTGTGTCAGTAAATTAGTGATTGGGTCATTTCCACTAACAACTGTAGGTAATCCTGATGAGGTGTCAATTACAAAATGTTGACTTACAGGTCCACTTCCTCTTGCTTGAGTTTCTCTTCGATTAGTTGTTCTTAGTGATCCACGTCGAAATCCACTACGAAGCCCAGCACCAATGCCAAAATCATAATCTCTAGTTGATAATGATTGTCTTAAGTAAGTATTTGTTTCTCTACCAGTTGAGGATGGTGTGTTAACTTGTAAATCTTGATGATCATTAGTCACATGTGAAATAAGATCTGCAGTTACCAAATTTGATTCACTATTCGCCATAGCAGCACATATTGGACAAATAACTTCATATAATTGTTGATCATTGCCGTGTTTTATTTGAAGATGTTGAAAAAAATCAGTATGTTCTGAATTATTATTCGGTGATAAAACCTCATTCAAAAATGAAACTCCTAAGCCCATATCGCCACACAATGGGCAAGTTAGCGATTGAGGTTGATCAGATGTACATTTTTCGCCGTAATAATATAAATCAAAATCTGGTCGCGTTAAAATACCTTAAATCGAACAATAATGAATTCATTATACAATATCTAACAATAGAAACCATCATTTACATTGCATAGGATGTTCTTTTGTGTGATTACTGGATATTTCATCTTGTTCACGACATGTGGAGCACAAGTCATAATCATAGCAAATTAGACATTTGAAACGCTTACAACGAAAGTTGCTTTTACCACAAGCATCACAGCTGACGCCTTCATGAGTTGACATGCTAAAAATGAATGGCGCAGTTAAAGAAGCATCCTACTGTCATGCATCAACAAATTCGATGTAGAATATACAAAAGCTACCATAATGCTTGAAGCACATCAACCAATCAGAAGGTACCTCCACAACGATGACATTGTTTTTATTACTCTACCAACAAGAGAAAAAAAGATGATAATGAAAATAAAAGATATCAAACAGTCAGTCTTCTAAAATGCTAACACCATTAATAATTTTCAGAAACTCAATAAACTCTTTACTTAAGTTATGACAAATTCTTTGCAAGCCTTAGAAATAGAAAATAGCAAATCAGGAACAAATAAATAATTGCCACGTGTACAAGCCATCTATCTTGAGCTTTTCAGGTAAATTTCTTTTTCTTTCACGAATCTACTATTGTATGAATGATAACAGTTTTGATGTAGAACGATTTTTTCGAAAAATATCGAAACCTCGTACAGTGTCTACAAACAGAATTGACCAGATTTCTTAAATTAACAGGCACAACGATTTCGAAAATATTTCTTAGTTAAAAATTAAAAAATAATATGACTATTACATGAGTATTAGTAGATGTGATACTTGTTGTACTATCAAAAAATAATCTAGTAGATTCACGAAATAAGAATCAAATACATGATTTCAATCATTCTGATTGCTTAAATAAAACTAACGTAGAACATGCAGTTGAGGCTTGAGTTGAGGTCTTCGTAGTTTTGAATATATATATATTGTTAGAAAAAAAAGAGACTATATTGCAGACGAAAGGCAAATAGTTATTATAACTGAATTTAAATTCTGACATAGGGAGCGATTAGTATTTATCTGGTAAAACAATTTTTATTTGAGTTTAAAAAAAACTATTTAAAATGCTTCTTGAGTAAATACAAGATGCCCAAGACTATGCTTGTGCATCTACACATTTATGGCGTAATCATCATCCTACTCATGAACTTTCATCATGAAGTTTCTTTCGTCTATACATGCTGCATCTGATACATTATTAAGTTGTTAGACACTTGAATCATTTCACAGTGCAAATTTTGAATCATTTTGTACATTTATAAATATCGTATCACTATTTTTTTGTATCAATGTATTGCTATCAAGAAATAGGTTAGTTCCGTTGGTTTAACAAATTTCTCTAGTTTGACATTTATAATGTATTGAACAATCTTAATAACATTAATTCTGGTGATTACATTTGCTTAAACTATTTCAACTTAATTTTTTTCTCATTATTCATCAGAGTACAATAAAAAGGAAAATTTTTATTTTTATTGAAAATTATGAAATATAGAATGTTTTCACACACAATAGAGATTAGAGGATTTATATATCATTGAAAAAAATGGAATGAACCAAACTCGATTCTGTAAGATTGATGTATATGCATATGATGATTTGTAGTTAGAATTCATTTGCCACCACCAAAAAGCTCACGAAGATGTGGAGCACGTTTACATCTAGAATTTCAATTATCCGCATTAATAACGAGAACCAACGCTTTAAAGTATACCCTTTGATAAAGTCTACTTTGACCAATTTCTTATCTTCACTTATGCCTAGTGTATTGAATATATCAGCTGCTAACTTTCTTGGGCCAAGATTATCGTTTTCATCAGTTTTCCCTACGATGATTAACTAAAGATAAAATAGAATTCATGCATATTTTAATATAAGAAAAAATTTAATTCTGAATTAAACGATATCAAAAGTCCTACTGAAGCTGACAGAAAAGTAGCCAGTTCATTGATATCCACTTTGCCATCACCTGAAACATCACACCTAAATAGTTATAAAATAAATGAAAAACTTGAACAACGATTATATGAAAAGTTCTCACATTTCAAAAACGTAATCAAGATGACTATCTAGATCATGTGGGGTACCCACTGAAACAGCCAATAAGAACTCACTGAAATCAATTGTACCATCATGATTTTTATCAAAGACAGCGAATACATGACTTTTTTATCGCAAGAAAATGACAATTCGAAATATATTGTTAATAGTTATGTGTACATACTCGCATAAGATACTTGTTCTATCTTTGTCATCTTTTACATCTTCGTAGTATTTCATGAATCCTTTTTTGTCCAATCTACCTGTTGGAAAATCATTCCAAAAAGTCTTTAAAAAAATAGAAAATAGGCAATTTGAAACGGTGAAATATCTAATAATAGACTGGAACATTTACTTCGTGTAAATTTCTAATTTCTGAAAAGCGAAAAAGTTTCATTGATATTATGTGTATACAACATTCTCTTACCTTGTTCACTAAGTCTCGATTGTCTCTTTAATCGAGCAATATCTAAATGCAGATCATTTTAATTAAATTGATATTTAAATAAGATAAAGACGAGACCTTGCGAAGTCAGTTCTTTAGATGTTCCAGCTTTGAGTATAGCATTGTTCCCCATGAGAAATAATTTTCTTTATAGATATTACGAAAAGCAAAGATAAACTTCAAGAATTAAACAATGGATACCACAACAGGAAGTTTTCCTCAATCCGTAAGAGAAAATACAAAAGAATAAAATAAAAATATGCTATTGATTGAAAACAAATTCTTCTACTGTGTACATAAAATTAAACAAGAATTTTATGGATGGATCGCTTCAGAATTTTCCTTTCCTATTCGGCCTCATATTATTTTTAATTGATTATACAGTTCACAATAAATGAAAGAAAAAAGTGACACTATATGCAAATAAAGTGATGAAAGTAGAAAATAAAGTTCTCATCAATTTTCATGTAAATGTTATCTATGTAACACTATCGAATGGAATAGAAACACATGCAGCTTTCTTGTCATTTTTCTTTGTAACCAGTAATGGTATGACGACCGGAATTATGAATCTGTCGCTTCCATTTATCTACTGTTCTATTATTTTCTTTTACTTATGCATCAATTTTTGTTTCGCTTTTGAATTTCTTTTACTTCACCTAAATTGTAAATTGACGATTGACATCTTAACTTTTGTTATTATTTTCAATAGTACAAGTAGAAACCTAGTAATGCCAAATTTGAAATCTTAACTGAATTATTAAAGAAATTTTCAAACGTTTCACTATTGTTCTGCGAGTATCTTTTAGTGGCATCTTCCAATGACAGAGCTGTTTTATGATTGCGTTTACGTGAGTATCTAAATATCACAGTGTCATATCTTTCATTATTCAAGTCAATCTCTATGTTTCATATCTGTCAAACAATATAAATTCATTCAGGTTAGCCATTTTTTATCATGATGTAGACAGCATTAAAAGACATTCAATCTACACTTAAATGAACATTACTACTAAGAACTATTGACAAAAATAGCAACGTGGAAGTCTTTGATAAGATTTTGATTTTTACCATTCGTACAACAGATAGACTAATTATTGAATTTTGTTTTTAAAAGATACTGTTTTTCGAAACTATTATTCTTTAATACTTTTTCATCACAATGAAACTGAGTAGTTGAATTGTAATATATGAAAATGATAAAATGCCAAACTGTATTGAATATTTTCTACAATATAGAATCTCGTTTTATAAGATCTTGACAGAAATTACGAGCTGTTTTGACCATTAGTTCTTCGTCGTTTTCAATCCGATCAAGTTGTTGTAAAAAAAATTTGATAAGATTTTTCAAATGTACTTCACTTTCATCTAAATTCATTGTCGATGACAAATCTGGATTGACAGTAGATTTAGGAGGATTGTAATTGTATTCCATTTTACCATCTAATACGTAAGTGAGTCTGACAAGCTCATGTAGAGCAATATTTGAAAGAAAATAGAATTTGTATGCATCACAACGTCGTCTAGCAGATGACGTCGATTCTAATTGATAACGAATACTAGCTACTAAATCACGAATTAGACCATGTCGATTATCATATGGTAAAGCAAGAATATATTTGAGATGTTGATGAATTATATATGTTCGATCAACCAAAATACATTTCTGTAAATCAATAATTCGAGAACCAAGAAAATATTTATCGAATTGAGATAATTGTGCTAAAATTAATAAAACACAAATTCTATGGAGCAATGTTTACTTTTTTTTTAGTATTGTTTTACTATAAAGATAAAGCTCAGTGAGCAGAAGTTGTGATCCATGATAAAGAGCAAGTTTTCGTTGATCTCCAAGCCAAAGTGTATGTTTTATGGCTAACGAATCTTCTGTATCGTTAAATAATTGTATAATATCGTTAGTGAATTCATCGACGATAAGTTTTTCTTCTTCTATTAGCAATTCAATGTCAATATCAGATTCTGGCGAACCTTGTCCTCTTCCGAACGATCCGATTAGAATTGCACCTTGAATACGGTTGATATCTCGACGAAAAAATTCAGTTAAATATTGAATAATTTTATTCTGTTTTTCCATTTCGAAATTCTTTTATGATTTATTTTTAGTTAATGCAAAATAACTAGATCAACATCACGTTCAATTATGAACTTAATTTTTGAAAATTCTTCAAAAATCTAAAACAAAAACAAATATTTCTACTTTTTTTCTGAAAGTGACAGTATTATAATACAATGATTTCTATGCTGCTAGACTAAGTCACAATAAATATAAAAGTATATCATATAAGATTTAAAAATAGTTTGAAAAAATGAGAACTTCTCATTTTCAAAAGAAATAAATTCATGAAAATACTGGGATGCATTGCAAACTTCTAAAGCAATTTAATTCTCAGTATACTAGTATACTTTTTATCCTTGAATATAAGGCGGTCGATTGATCAGCACTTTCTACAATACATCTATTTTAAATTTGACTTCCATGGATCAACCTACTTATAGATTTGTCAAATTTGATTATAATCTTCACTTTTTAATGCTAGCATAGCTAATTTTCCCAATGTTTGAGAGATCTTTTCTAGTTTTTTTAGAAGTATTTGATCTGTTGCTTTAAAGATTGATAACCATGTATCAAATTGAGCTAATGGTGCATGAACAATAGGTTTATATGTATTGAAATGCCAAATACGCGGCATTTCAGTGAGATATGTCTCTGTAAATGAAAACGTATTGTAACACTGTTGAAGCTGAGTTAAATGACCACGAAAAATTAGGTTAAGCGCCATTTCATCACTTGTATACATAGCTGATGGATGTGAAAGTGCTAGAGCTTGAACATGTTGTTTAATACGAAGTTCGCGCCATTTATATGCATCGATTAACATTACACCTGACAAAAACAAAACATACATATTCTATATTAAGGAATTCAGTTACTGAATTAAATCAAAGTTTGGTATTGCATTTTATTTCAAATTTATTGCATATAAAAACTTGACTGCATAAAATCAATAAAATATAATGATTAATTTTATGTTTACTCAAAACACTTAAAACTAATAGTACGTTTTTGAGAAAAAAGTGATTAGTCCAAAAAGATTTTACTTGCCAGCATTAAAATATTTGTGATTTTTTTCACCGACTGAATAACGAATTCCATCTAATTCATAATCCATTTTAGTAAGATTTGCTTTAAACTCGCGATTTATGAATTCTTTAATCATTAAATGTGTTCCAGGAACGACTGCAGCAATTGTCTTAAATGGAATAGTGAAAAGTTCGTGAATACTATTCATAGTATAAGTATCAACGTCTAAATATAAAATTCTTCTTTCATGTGGAAAAAGATACGGAATCTCAAGTCGAGCGAATGTAGTTCGAGATGAAACAGATCCACAGATAATATCTAATGGTTTGACAGATGTAATCTCGATGTTTTGACCAAGATCATTTAATGGTTGACAATGTGCACCATCGAGTAGAGTTGTAATTTTCCATGGGATTGATTGATATTTTAGTAGAGACAGAAGTAAACCTTTACAAAGCATTTGATAATAGAGAGACTCATTAACGGCGCATACAATACGATGCATGAATAAATATCTCTTACATGATAAAAGTTACAAAAATTATGATAGAGAACAAGTAGCGTATCTATTAAATGTTAAAACATTCTATACAAAAAGAAGCAAATATTTCTCCTCTCCTAAACATAGGTTAAGATAATCTACATACACTTTGACTTACAGACACTTGTTTTCCATTGCAATAGAAAGACATTGAGCCTCAAAGATGAAAAAGAGGGTGCTCGAAGCAAGAATATATACATACATTCATATTCGACGATAAAATGCTTGTATGAAAAACAGGTTTCTCTCTTTCGACATTAATATGATATGAATAAAATTATTTAAAAATAGATTTACTGTCAAGAATAAAAAACATCTTTCTTATTTTATGGGGAACATTTTCATAATAATATATCATTAATTGAATAGTGGCAGACTGAATAAGTTTCAGTTGAAAAATGCATCTTTTTTATTATGCTTGTTCTATTGTATTCTTAATTCTCATCAAAATCATCTTTCAATCTTGAAACATTATTCTGATTTAGAAAAGTGAATATCAAAACACGAAAATGATTAAAAATTGATTAATCTGAGAAGGATAAACATAACGAAACGCTCTAGCTTATTATTGAGCTCGTAACATTTTTCGCTCGAAACTTGATCATACCCTTCTAAAATAATTCATAATACTTGTTCAATTTTTACACATCTTTCTAGCTAGTTAATTATCATCACGTTTGTATGAAATCAAAAATTTCGAAGAGGTTGATATCAAACATAACTCAATAATGCGTTTTTAGTCTCTGAAGAAAAAGATTAGTGTCCAATTAAGTTAAACGATAGTTTTATTATTATAAGATTATAGGAAGAGAGTTTGCTTATATTTTAAATATATCCTAATTTATTTCCAATTTAAAATGATACCTTGATTCCGTTGAATATGTATGATAGTTCACTTTAGTACCATAACTTTTAATAGTTTTATCCTAAATAATATTTTATATTAGTTGAGCATTAGCATTACACTTAATATAGTATAGAAGAATTCTTAAAGCAATACTTCTAATTCGTTTCGCACAAATCACATTATTAACATACAACAGCTATTTTACGTCAAACAATTGTTGGGATGGATGAGAGTAAAAATTGGACAGTGATTCTATTGGTTCTAATTGCATATGATAAGCTACCAGTGATAACCTATCACCGTCTAGTTTCATAAAACGATGATGAACATGGGTAGCGTCCATCCAACGCCTATAAAAGTCATTCCTAAAAAGTTTAGTTGGTTCAACTTCTGTACGTCTTGTTGTGAGTTAGATTGTATAAAATAAATTTAATATAGATAGGAGCCATCTTTGAAACAGTAATATCACTCTCATGAAATCTATTGTTCTTATTTTCTATTCATGCGATTATTCATCTTTGGAAACTTCACCATAGTAGCGACCTCATCTGTTATCATTCTATCACGACAGTTAGTACCAATCGAAAAACTTGAGATGTCATGCATGTTGAATGATGACTCTCAACCAATAGATATACTTTAACTTGCTCTACTAAAATAAAAACAGGTGAGGTTAGATATTTCAAAGCCTATGCAGCTCTTGTCATTTATCTAAATATTTCATTGAAGATGTCTACACAAGATATCCATAAACTTTCTTCTGTGTTACGATCCATTGAAATAATTGAAGGTAAATAAACAAAAAAAGCGTCGGAAACTAAAAGATGAACATTATGATTGCAGAGAAAACAAATATATTACATTCTCAATATGCAGAATCGCTAAATGAAACTGATAATCAACATTCGATAATAATCGATGATTCAAATATTCATTTACAATTATTCTTTCAACATTTTGAGCAGTTATTACAACTTGACATCAAAAGTAAAACGCATAGATCGTTATTTTCTAGAATTGATTTTCTTATATTGTACATTTAAGATCGAAAATCTTTATTAAATACTACTAGTAATAAGCAAAGTTATTGGAATTTTTTTTCTGTCGCACTCAAAGAAAGCAAAGCTCTATACGACACCGTTTTATATGTTCTTAATAGTCAAGAAGTAAAAACTTCTACTGGTCGTGGACGTTTATTTCTTCGTTTTTGTTTACAAAATCATCGTTTAGGCGATGTCGTTCAACATAGTTTCATGATGACAAAAACTGTCAAGTAAGAGATCAAATCCATGAATTGACAAAACAATGCCTTCTTTCGAATTATAGCCAATTTTATATCGATGAATGTTTCTGGACTACACCATCATATATGAATCGTATTGTTCAAGCTTTATACCAATTAAATGATCTTCGATATGATCTTCTTTCGAAAGCACACTATCAACTTGATATTTGTTGGCCAACAGCCGAGTTTGTTTTTGGTATAAAAAAAAACGGCAATGATTAATTATTGATTTTGTTCATAGATCAACTGAACATCGTCCAAAAACATTATCCGATGCTGCATCAAGAATGAGAAATATTAGTGTGTCAAGTCTTATATCAATGGTACGAAAAGAATAATAACCCGAACTTATTGAGAAACGCATTAGGGTTCTCATAAGAAAAGATTCGTTTAAAAATGCAGCATACGATGAGAGCACATTTTAATGAATATATATCAGACTGCTAATCGAATAGAACTCGTCAGTAAAGATCAGAAATCCGAAAGTGAAATTATTTTCGACAAAATTAAGTCTAACTTTCGGTGATGTTATTTTAGAGTAGTGTTGATTCTCAATCCATCGTTTCAGTTCTTCCAAATACTTCAACTACAATTCCAATCTTACCAACCATTTTTCATGTATAAGAAAAACAATTTTTCTTTCTTTGTTTTTGGAAATGAAATCATATATTTTTAGAATCTAGAATCATCAATCAATGATGGCAGCGCAGCACAATCACTTTCATCTGTTGATGAAGATCCTGAAAATACGATAATTTATTGGAAACAAAAATATCATGAATTAGAAATGCAACTACAAACTCAACATCCATCGAATGATGTTGAAATTCAATGTTCTTCGAATGAAAATGGTAATTCTCATGAATCGACCGATAAGGAAACAGTCGATAAATTAAATAGTGAAAATGAAAAATTACAAATTCAAATAAATTCACTAAATGAAGAAATAAGTAATCTCAATCTTCAACTTTTGTCTGCTTTCACTGAGCCTTCAACAACAACAACAACAGATGTACGAAAAATAGTTCAGAAAATTGAAATCTTTCATAATGTTTTATATTTAGACAATGAAAGATTATGAAAGTCAGCTAGCCCAATACCAATCAGAGATCGAAAATAAAGATATTCTTATCAATGAATTGCAACAAAAATATGCTGAACAAACGCAGGAATTACAATTGATGGTAGGTCATGTTTGCGTTTTATTTTTTTATATTCTGATTGCATTTCATTATTTCTAGCAAGAACAAAATTTATCGTATTCAAATGAGCAAAACCAACAAATTGAATTATTAAAAATTGAACTTGAAAAAGTAATACTCGGAAAAAATTTGACTTATTTATATAATATTTTTCTGTTTCAAGTCAAAAAATTTACTTGAAGATGAACGACTATTAATGGAAAATGAACGAGTAAATAATAATCTTCGTTTTTTTTGGAAACACTTTTTATTCATTGTTTTTCTTTTAGAACAAGCGCAACACTATTCAAGAAAAGTTAGAGATTACACTACAAGAAAGAACACTTGATTTTGAAGAAATGAAACGTCGACTGGTGAAAGCTGTTCGGTAGGAACCATTTCAGTATAAAAAGTAGTCTTTGAAGCACAGACCATATCGGACATTATCATGAAAATTTCTCAGATAAAATTGTGATATTTCACATTTTACGCAAGAAAAGACAGTTCTGTTTTTCGTTTAGAGAAAAAGCGGAATTATTCGATACTATGCATTCGTACGAAATAAAACTTGAAGAACAACAAGCAAAAAAATGGGTTCCCGATGAAGAAGTTTTGAATTGTACGGAATGTAATATAGTATTTGGATGGACCGTAAGAAAAGTATGTTATTATATGTGTTTGATTTCGTTAGAAACATCTATTTTTCATAGCATCATTGCCGACATTGTCAAAAAATATTTTGTTACAATTGTTCAAATAATTGGATACAAGGTCCAAAAGCAAAGTTAGTTTAAAGTGAATTATTCGGGGGAAAAAAAGATCCTCTCCTATTTCAGTTCTCCACAATGTCGTGTATGTGATCAATGTAATGAAATATTGTTGAAAGAATCTCTTATGCCTAATGGTATAACACAAAATCATGTAATAGGTGATCAGGAAATAAAAGAGGATATCGATCTTCATTTTGAAGTTCGAGCAGAATGTTTACCAACAACAACAACAACAACAGATATTCAATCAACATCTTAGATAACGATCAAATGAAATTCTATTTTTTGTTCTTTTTTAAATTTCTTTCTTTTAATTGCAATACAAAATTGAGCATTTTTTCTGTTTATAAATCTTTAATATTTTTAAGTTATATTTAATAGATAAGGAAATATATATACATATATATATATATTTGAGTAAAACATAATACTTCATTTGAAGTGCAAAAGTATCATGCTTCCCGTTTGGCGAGAATACATTAATTCATACCGATGTATCTTCAAGGAATATGAGATCCTGTATTTGCGTTACAATCTCTACAAAATATAGATGACACAAAATCAAATAGGGAGTATATTATCAAGCTACGTCTTGTAAAATGCGAAAACACCTATGACTACTATGTGAATAAAATTGTAAAGAAGTTGTGTAATCGATGTTCAAGGAAAACACTAGGTACTTGAATATAAACACTTTAGCCACCTGAGCTTAATAGATTTCTTTTCATCAGTTGACAGCCTCTCGTGAATAATATTTCGTTTGATGAGATTTTTCAGCATGCTCGGACCTACGACATCTACATGTGATTTGACCATTCATATCATACAGATTATTACCAATAGATACCAATATTAAAACATCTTCTTATCTAAATTTTCATTTTTTTCCTCTCTCAACAAAAATGATGTTGAATATTAATGATGATGAAATTAACTATGGTATTTATCGATCGGATGACCCTTTAAGTAACTTTAAAATTCGGTAGGGTGAATAGAAAATATCGAATTCTGTTAATTAACTCGTTTTTTTTGTTCTTCTTAGTGTCAAATTAGAACGCTACACATCAAATTCGTTAATACCGAGTCTAGAGCGGCTCAAAATTCAAGACGATCTATCACGTTTACTTGATAACGAAGGAAGAGGTCTAGAAAAAATGAAAGGTAGCAATGCCGATGTGGCGCGATTGCTCGATAAAGCAAGAAGCGAGGAATACGAACAAGTTGATATTAGTTGGCAGCAAAAGCTTTTTAATCAGGTATTTTCATTTCTCGGATATTATTTTCATAGAGGATTTTCTTTAGGTGGAGTTTGAAATCTACGAGAAAGATATCGGACCTGACAGCACGCTAGTTGAACAACAATATTTTAATGAAATAGGAAAAATGAAGTAAACATCCACTTGATCATTATAGAAAAGTAATGTGTGCTTTTTAGAAAAACTCGTAGACAACCTGGAAAAATATTTACATATATTGAAAAGGATCCATATTGTGCTGAAAGAAATGTATGCCGATTTTTATTCAATTTAGTTAAGACTAATATGCTTTTCTTTTAAATTTAGCTTGATTTTTTCATGACTGATTCCCCCGATGAACAGCCAAGTCAATTAGCATTAGCAATAAATACTTTTCGTAAGTTATCTACGTATTTTCGTATTCTTACATTTAAATTCCGCTTAGAAATATTCGAATGCTGAAAATAAAATAAACTTTTTGTTTTTCAGAAAAACCTCCAGTCTTTCCATTTCAAATTAGACCAAGGTTTGATAGTTTCAACATTCTATTGCCTATCGATTTTTAAAATCTCTTTTCAGCAATGAAGCTTTTATTTCTAAGATAAATCTTATCCACGAAAACCCAACACTTCATGAGATTCAAACAAATCATTTTGCCTCTTTGCCATATCAAACAATGTACATAATGGCTGACTTGAGTGATAGAATCGATGCGACAGCAGGCGCAGCTGCATTTGGCTCACGAACAACTAATGAACATGTTCTATGCCAAATAAATGCCTATTCAAATGGTACCATCGTATTAAAACCAGATTTTAATACTGGTAAATTAGCTTATATGATTGAATCGAAGAATTTCAATAATGATTTTTATCAGTATTACATCGAGCATGTTTCAATACCAGTCACTAAGGATGATCTTAGAAGAGAGAAAAGATTATTAACAGAAGTCGCTGCAAGACAACAAGCATATTTAACAAAAATGGTCGGAAAAAAATTCGATACGGTAATTTTGAAATAGAAAAATCCTCTTAAAATTATTTGAGATTTTAGCCACCGCCCAATGTTCTTAAATTAAATGTTTTCGGTGAAATTGTTAGTGGAAAAAATTTCGACTACGATAATATTTATGTTTATTATTGTTTAGATTTAACTGATAGTAAGTTGCAAAAGAAAAAAGCTCAAAACTAAAATAAATTTCATAGATTGGTATGTCGAATCATCAATGCTTTTATCTGGTTATACACATACAGCAAGTTCTACTGCATCTAGTAAATATGTACGTAAGGTCATCAAGTGAAAAGTTCTAATACCGTAGCATTGTATTGATTTATTTTTAGGATGACATTGTTTACTATTCATATCCATTTGAATTTGAAGTATGGTACAAACCATCGCCTCACGCAGCTGATCATGGTAGAAAATAATCTTTTTTTTTTCTCAATGTTTTTCATTGGTCATTTCTATTCGATAGAACTTCCTCGAATGCCAAAAATCTATTTTCAAATTGCTTCATTAGATTCATGGAATCGTCATCGAACAGAAGGCTATACATACATCGATATTCCAAGTATTCCAGGTTAAAAATCGTGTTTATTCACTTTCCTCTCCAATAAACTACTTTACTTTATTGAATAGGATTTTACGATGAACATTTATCATGTTGGAGACCATATGGTAATTCCATATTTGATGAACTGCGTCGTTTCTATATGGGAGGTTCGTCTGAACTTGAAGATATAAGTTATGTTGCTATACCGAAATCATTTCAAAACAAAAACGTAATATTTCATTGCAATAGAAATAAATATCTTGATGATTACCTTTTAGAATAATAAAATCTTAAGTCGTTTTGGTTTTCGTACTGCTTCAACGGGAATGCTAAATATTCGACTCAATGTTGTTTTTCAATCACAGTAAAGATAGAAAATCTGTGGAATTTTTAAAAATATTTTTTCTTTTCAATAGAAGTCTAGCAAAAGAATATAAAAAAAATCCCCGTAGTTCCGTCGTCAAACATCATGGGTATACTTATTCTAAGGGAATCTCTTTAGAAAATTGTATCTTAATTGTTGTAGGTTTAACGCATTTATGACCAATATTAATGATACTATTCGTAAGTAGATACGTTGTTGGAAAAAAGATTCTTGTTTGCACACATCGTTATGACTAATATCTTATTTAATTATATTTTGAATTTCAGACGAATACGAACAAGCAAAACGACGTGCATTTGCAGTACGGGAAAGAGTATTTCGAGAACACAATTTCGAAGCTTATGAATAAATATGGTCACAATCGATGTCAGATGATTTGATTTTCTTTCAGTATTCAAATGTACACAGTGATAGTAATGTCTGTTTCGGAGTGTTTTCATTTTGCTTACAAAGCTAAATTTAATGTTTGCTTGTTTTTTCATATTTTAAAAGTATTTCATTTTGGGTTTTCATAAAATAAATTTACATGATTTAGATAGTAGAGTATGATTGATTTCTAATTGATGTGATTTATATGCAATTGAATACATACAAGTTTTCTGCGATTGTGAAATTTTATTGACTCATTATTGAAATCCGTAATCATTACGAATGGTGAAGGCTCTTGTGAGTGCCGCATTACAAAATGAACTTGAATGGACACAACTGAGAACGAACTGATCGTGATTTATTCAAAGCAAAGCATAGGATTCTACTGATTTCAAATGATGCGAAAATAGTAGAACTAAAAAAATCTGAAATTTTATATTATCATTGATCAATTAGAATATCCATGTCCTCAAATCGCTAAAAGAATCGATGATTATATCGCGGAATATTAGGGCGATGTATCGCGAGATCTTATCGCGATAGAATCGTTCAAATTACCGATTTTTTTCAATTTTTCTTAAAAATTGAGGCTAATTTACGATTGCGTAATCAGCTTAGATTTCTTATGAAAAAGGTACAAAAAGTAAGTGTTTTCAAGACTTTTGATATCTATAGAACGCGTATCTTCTTTATCCGTTTGAGTTTCCTGAGAGCGACTGATATACTCTTGATCTTACTAAGTGCGTACCAACTCGTTTTCTATTACCGTAGAGCAGATTCCACCAGATAAACTTGTATTTTGGAATCATGAAATATAAGTTACAACTGTACTATACTTACGTATATATGAGATTGTTGAATTCTTTAAGTGTATTCAACAAACTTTGTTACAACCACGAAAATGCTACTGAGAATAAAAACTAGGGATGTAATTTTCCTGTTACTTTAAAATAAATATAAACTATTTATTTTGATAATTTGCATGTAAAAGCAAATTTGAATGAAAACAATTCATATTTAAATATAAAAAATATTTCTAACTAAATTTCATTAAAATACATATTATCACAAAATTATTTAATTTAAAACAAAATAAATGTGATTTATATGTATGTTTAGATATGAATATTTTTTATAATCTATAGTTAACCACGTGAATTATGAAAAACGTTTTTTTTATTAAATATAGCCATAAATTAAAACATAAGAAGAAATTGACATCTAGTTATTTTTAAAAAGAAAATATGTTTCATTACTTTATTAAAATAGATGTTTTTAATAATATAATGAATCCATTGGCTATGGTACTTACATGAGTAACTTAAAAACGAAATAAATGAAAAAATAACTTAAGGATAGGTGTGGATGATAAAAGAAAGACTGACTTTCACTCTTGAAACATTTTCCACACCTACCCCTTTTCGAACGCAATCAAATCAAATCGAATCTAATGCAACTGATGTGATTCGTTTTTGTATCTGGTTTTTAGTATAGAGTAAATTACAACAGAAGAGTAATCTATAAATTTCTATGCACGAAAAAAACATTTCTTCTGAAGTGAAAATTTACATGAAAGAGAAGAGAAAAAAACTGATAATACTCTTCTTCTTTGTTAACTGATTACATCGGTTTACACGATTTACTTGACACGGACTTACTTGACGTTGATTGTTTTTCGATTTTAATTGGTTTTTTTAGCGAAAATATTTTATTTTCGTTGCAGATGATTTACTGGTGACACCCTGATTGGGACCATTATTAGGCCCACCAAAATTCGTCCCTGTTTTGCTCTCTTTTTTCGTCCCATACAAAAATGAGTTCTCTCTTAATTGGTCCCATAAAGAGAGAAAGTCGAACAGCAACTCGTTCCATTCTAAAGATGACTCCAATTGGTTTATCTAATATTTGTTTTATATATTAAGTTTCATACAACATAACAAAATACATACAGAGCAAAAAAATAAATAACACAGAATTTACTATTTCTTTTTTTTTATCTTGACTGCTTTACCTGATTGAATAGCCAATTCAGTGACAGTTAATTGACCATTTTCAAACATGTTGAATAATTCNAAGTAATCAACGGAAAGTAAATCCTCATAGAAAAAAATAAGCTAATTGGAATCCATTTTTATTTAATCAACGTCAAGTAAATCGTCTGCAACGAAAATAAAATCTTTCCGCTGAAAAAACCAATTAAAATCGAAAAACAATCAGCGTCAAGTAAGTCCGTGTCAAGTAAATCGTGCATACGGTAATTATAATGATTGAAAACTAATCTTCGTTTGTATAGGAAGCAATGAAAGTTTCTGTCGAAACTAATCAACGATTGGCGATATCAGCCAATCATTGTAATAGATTACATCATTTTATATGATACAGTTCAACTAAACAAGAAGAAATTAACAAGTTCATCATTTTGTTTATCTAAGCTAATAAATCAAGAATTAATGAGTTAGATAATTGTCTTCCAGTATGTTATAAAATTTAAAAATATGTTTTTGGTGAAAATATCTGAACCTTCAAATAATATTCTATTACAAAAAAAAGTAGCTTTTTCATTCATGTGTTATTGTTGAGTATTAATAAATAATAGATATAATTTCAGAAACGATTTTTCAAAAATATTAAGCAATAATCATAAATATTTTTACTGTATAATAAAATTTTAATTGTTCTATCAGACAAATATTTAACGAAAGACATTGATTCTTATAGTAAATTGTTGCTCTGTGGATGAATCGTTTCATCCCAACTAAACGAATGAGACTTAACAATTGTTGGATATTTAAATTTTTCTCGTATCAATATTCGACGCCATATTTCACGCATATGATTCATTGAACCGGGCTAAAATTGAATAAATAACTATTTCAGTCCGTTTCCTTGCTGCATACTTACAAAATGTCCAAACATAATCGTATAAAAAGATTTCGACGATAGAAAACGTGTGTGTGCGACTTGTTCTGAAATTGTATACAGTGAACCAAATTGGGTATAGGTTACATTGGCAGCACTTGCGACTGCTCCAGTTATATAATAATCATCGACCCAAAAGAATGGGACATATAAGCTTGCATTATACCTAAGAATGAATGAAGATTTAAAAAATTCTGACATAAAATCGACTGTAACGTTTTGGTACGACTAGTGCAAAGCAATTTGATAGGAAATTTGAAGAATTTCTCAGTAGACATGTAAGTCAATAGGTTGACAACTCCGTTAGTGAGTAGTACTCTTTGTTATGTTCTACATGCTTGACACATTCTTGGAGATTCACCGAGTTGCGATTGGCATCGATACATGAGAAAGTCGATTATAGATTAGTGAAATTTTATTTAGCTAAATTACTTAGTTATTCTAATTAAATGCCTATTGAAATATCGAGTGGTAAATAAAGAATGATTCTATTAGTATTCTCAAAAGTGTATTAGACGCTCTATTGGATCCTACCGTGAGAAAAAAACGAGAGGTTGTTAGAATGGTTCACCGAACATTCAAGCACTGTCTTGATAAACGTTGTATAGGATGTGAATCATTTCAATGTATATATTCGACTCAAATATTGGCTTTAATGAGCATAGGCAAATCAATTTTTAGCTGAAAGGGAAAAAAAATAGGGTTGTCTTAGAACTACAGCTTTGAGTCATCTCACTTTAGAGAAAATCACGAGCAAATCTTATAGTGAATGAATCAATTCGATCAAGTTCAAGGCCGAAGAGATATTATGAAGTATTTCTGTATGTCCCATGCGATAATTTATGAAACACGTCATTCTATAGTTTGGCAGCTATCGGAGTGTATCTCTTTGTGAAATCCGATTTTTTTTATCATACCCTGTGCTGACTCGTTGATTTAAATTTGACTTATCTCTGTACATCTCTATGTGATACAATGCGAAACCAGTAGTATATGAAAATCTCACTCCAAAAGGTACAGTTTCACTCTTATATATGTATATATTCTTTTTAGGATAAAACTTACATTTTTGCAGCCATATCTCCGGTAAAAATATAAGCTAAAAACAAGTATTCAACATAGTTTAGTAAAATTTAAATTTTTACCTGAACCACTACAATAGGGCGGAAATTTTTCCAATGGAAATTCTTCTTTACTTAAATACCATTTTGATTTACTAAAGAAAGAATTTTTCTTTCAATATTATTATTTTCCATACAATTCTAACCTATCTCTCATCACAATCATAGCATGCCATACTAAACAAAGTAATGTCTGTTGTCTATTCGGATCAAGTTTATCCAGAAATTTTAAATGTTTCGTTAATGTAAATGTATTAGTAACAATATCGTCGTCAACTTTTAAAATGTATTTTGCTTGTGAACAATATATTGATACCCATTTTAATGCCATTATACCCTTATATGTTAGATTTTTATACGCATCAATGAAATCTTCTTGAACAATATCTTGGTATATTTCATTTTCATACTCTATCGCTTTCATTATGGTTTTATCCAAGGTTTTACCAATCATAAATACAAGACGTAATTCAGGAAATAATGTTTGTGTTGCCCATGTTTCACGTATAACAATACGTCGTTGATAATTTGTTGGACCAGAATGAACATAAACCAGAATATAAACAGATGAACTACTGCTGCTACTACTTGTATTGCATACCGTATAACCAGGATTGAGTAAATAAGAAAAATTATGTGGATTAACAATACGATCTTTTGGTTCATATGGATTTTGAATAGGCTTTTCGGTGGTAGTTGTGGATACAGAATTATTACTTTCTGTTTTTGATATATCAATATAGATATATATTAAATCGAGCAACAGAATCAATTTTAATTCCATAGAAGATTTCTATCTAGAAAATAGTAGAATCTATTTTCATCTGATCAAATTCATGCGATTTGCAGATAGATTATTATTCGTTATAGCAGATTGATAAATAAAGTCGCATGGAAGAGAGAGAATAGGTATGATGTCGGTGGCTGTATGAAATATACAGACGAGATTTGCGTTTTATTTCTTCTCTTTTTCATTCTCACGGCAAGCGTTTATGCTTTATACAAAATTCAAATACTCATTGGATGTGTATACTTTCTTTTTTCTCTCTCTTTCATTTGGGTTAATGCTTGCTGTGTTTTATTTCTTGCAGTAAAATTCAAGAAGAAGAAAAAAGAAAGAAAGAAACAAGAGAACAGAGGAATGTCTCATTCTTATGACTTGAATTCATGTAGCAGTATGCGCATATATTTATCGTTCCTTTCTGATGCTTTATTGCCGTGTCTGAAGCAAGGTATGCGCTTGTATTGATGCTGGTCAACTAAATACACTAAAAGACATGAGCAAGTTCAGTAATATGTCCTTCAATGAGACAGGAAAACAAGAAACTATTAGAACATGCTAAATGGTCGACAAATATTAGTCTACAGGAAATGGGTATTGTTGGTAACTAGATCAATATTTCCTGAAAGAAAAACAAAAAGGCATAATCTATAATTTTTCTATGGTTAAATTAGTCTCCTTCGAAGCATTATTTACCGAGAAGGAATCTTTTTTCTGCCAGAAAAAAAAATAATACTTCATTGACCAGTGGAATGATAATGCTCTCTTATGATGATAAAGAAAAGACTTCTTCTGTATATAAACGTTTGTTGAATGGCTCAATTAGATTTATGGTTTCTTACATAATCTATATGTGCGTGTATTAACGCTTTCTCTACAATGTACAAATGATCATTCAATTGATTTCTCCTGGAAACACCCAGAAGCAAATATTAGAATGGATGAAACAATCTCGATATTTGCCGTTCTGTATAGAATAGCTAAAATGTGCGTCGTTGACAATCGATTAGGTGGATACACAAGAAGCAATAGAAGGAAAATGAGGACGAGTACGAAGGTCGAATATAGTTGATGCTGTTGTAATATCACATCAACAACGAAGATAGAAAGAAAAAGGAGTTCTTCCATAATACATTACCGGTTGATTTGTGTTGGCATTAACATGCAAATAGCACTCGTACAAAAAATAATGTATATGTTTTTGAATATAACTGTTGTTCTATTAGTACATATAACAATTTCTTCATTAACTGCGAGTAAATATTTTTTTTTTATTTTTGAAATATTTATATTCTATTTATAATTGAAATTTTTGTCTTTTACTAGATGCATTTCGTAATAGTGCTGACGAATGTTGTCAAGCAGGTCGACTTCAGGCTGAACATAATAAAACATGTACGATGTTAACACATGCATTGCCAGGGGATAGTCATACAAATGCAACAAACTATTGTCCATATTTATCACATATATGTTGTTTATCAAGTCTACGTCATTATTTTTGTGAAGAAGGTTTAAATACGGCACTACGATTATTGCCATGTAATGAAACAAAATTACAAAATAAAGACACTTATAAGGTTTGATTTTTCTTTTTGTAGTTTGGTTTATCGAAAGATATTTTCTTTTATTGATAGATATGTTGTAGATGTTGCGAATTAGGTGTTCAAGCAGGTCGACATTTTGAAGATTGTGAACCGGTGCCTGTACTCGATGAGAAATGTGGTGAACAATTCACAAATTGTTGCAAAAAATCAAAATCTTGTAATAAATATATACATATGAAATAAATCAAATAACATATAAATGAATCTTCTCTAGTGAATTGTCATGCTGGCTTTGAAATGGGCGATCAAGGCCGTTGTCGTGGTATGTTATATATATTCTGTCAAGAGATGTACGTTTCATTGTTATGCCATTTTTCTCTCTTTAGACATCAATGAATGTCTTTTAAGTCCATGTCCTGATACAATGAAATGTGAGAATACACCAGGTTCTTATCAATGTATTGAAGGATGTGAATCTGGTTATGTATGGTCACTTAAACAAGGAGAATGCCGAGGTGAGATTATTATTTTTTTGTGAAATAAATGAATTTTTTTCTCTCATGATACTGTTTATGTAGATATTGATGAATGTGCACTTAATAAACATAATTGCACTTATGGGCAGAGATGTGAAAACATGCCTGGATCTTATCGGTAATAGAACCAACTTTTCGTAATGTATGTATTTATTTGTTTATCTATCTAAAGATGTATACGTGAAAGAAATTGTGGTACGGGCTATCAAGTTGATCCTAATACACAAACTTGCATGGGTAATTAAAGAAGAGAAATTGTCTTTATCGGAAATATTGATTTTCTTTTATAGATATCGATGAATGTGATCAAGGCATTGATGAGTGTAGGCAAGTGATTGCAATTTTTTGGTAGGATAAATAAAACGAATAGAAATTTTATTTTGCCTGTAGGCCTGGTTATATTTGTAAAAATGTGCCTGGCACGTACAGGTAACTGTTACTTGAGAAATGGCTTTGATTTATATAAATGTGAATAACATAGATGTCTTCCACAAAATTGCACGACAGGTGAAAAATTCAATGCTTTCTTTGGTCGTTGCGAAAGAGTTCAATGTCAACCAGGCTTTAATTCATCTTCATTCGGAAAATGCATTGGTAAGAAATATATACCGAATCAGAAATTCAAATATAATGATTTCTATTGGTTTCATGAAGTCCAAGAGCTTTCTCTACAGTAGTTACCACTACGGAAAAATATCGAATAGACTTTTCGCGAGACAATACATATCTGCATATTTGTGAATATTATTTTTTTTGTCTAAATAGATATAAATGAATGTGCCCAAAAGCCAAGTCCATGCAAACCTGGTGAAAGATGTGATAACACAGTGGGCTCATATAGATGTGTACAAACATTCAGTTGTGCAAGCGGACTTGAAATGAAAGATTTGAAGTGTTTAGGTAATAAGAATGAATTTTTTTCTTCTTCACATCCATTTTGATTTTTCAAGATATTGATGAATGTTCTATTGGCAACCATACTTGTCCTGCTCCGGCTACTTGTAAAAATACATATGGATCTTTTTATGTAAGAATCTAACTTAAATGGTTACTAAGAGAAAAGCCTTTTCCCCCGTCTATAGTGCGAATGTCCAGCTGGTTTTGTATTTAAATATGGCGTTTGTGTCGGTATGTATTTCATTTGCATGCAGAAAAAACTCATAATAACACTGTCATATTAGATGATGATGAATGTTCACGAAGTAACACAATTTGCCCAACGAATTCATTCTGCCGTAATACACCTGGTTCGTACGCTGTAAGTGTTTATTCAAAAAGAAATTATTACTAAAAACGAAATGAACTAATTTCTAGTGCGACTGTACTGCTGGATATAAAATGATTGCTGAACGGGCTTTTTGTGACGGTAATTCAATAAAAACTAAAGTAAGTCTTGATAATTTTATCTATATTAGATATTGATGAATGTCAAATATCACCGGACACATGTGAACAAAAATGTGTCAATGTTCAAGGATCGTACTATGTAAGTGTTCTTTTTTTGTTGTTAGAGTCAAATACAAACGATCACTACGAATTAATTTTAGTGCTTATGCAAAGAAGGTTATCGACTCAATAATGATAAACGAACATGCCGAGGTTGAAAACGTTTCAGTTTATCTTTTTTTTCTTTATGTGAATTATTTAGATCTTGACGAATGTTCAATGATTAAAAGTCTTTGCCAATATCACTGTGTGAATACGCAAGGTTCCTATAAATGCATTTGTCCCACAGGCTTCTCGCTCGAACGGGGTCGTCAATGCCAAGATATTGATGAATGCACACTTGGCACTCACAGTTGTCGTAGTCAAGATGCTTGCGTTAATATTCTTGGTGGATATCGTTGTTATCATGTTACATGCCCTGACGGCTATGAAAAAGCTGGAAATACGTAAATCTATTTACATGTCTCTTTTGTTTCATCAATCAATTTGAATTCTTTGACTTTCAGTCGATGTCAATTGTCAACACGTTGGTGTCAAGAACATATAAACGATAAAGATTTGCGTTGTACAATTCGAAAACCAGTTAAACATGTTTATTCCTTCATTTCACTTCCTGGTATGTAAATAAAAACGAAGACTTCTAGGTGAATATTTTCCGTTTTTTTAGCTAAAATGCGTACACCAATCGAAATCTTTCGCATACGAAATAGTCAATTACAATCGAATCAACATGCTGAATTTGATTTACGTCTCATCACTGCAGTCGATCCATATACGAAATTAAGTGAAACCTCACTTGAAAACTTTCAATTAAAAGCCTATCCACCACATAATTCTCATTTGCTTGTTGTTAAAGAATTAAGTGCATTTCAAGAAATTGAATTACAAATCGAAATGAAAATCTACACAAACAATGCTTTAAATTCAGTATCAATTATGAAAATATTAATTTACGTCAGCCAATATGACTTGCATCCTTAATTGATTATCCTGGTCTGTTTTTTTTTTGATGACCTATTTCCTATTTGTTTCTATTGTTAAGATAAGAAAGAATGCTTTTATTTTTTTTTGTTTTTTCTTTTGTAAGAATAAGATTACACACACACATTGATAGATACTCGCGCTCATACAAGATCTCTATTCAAAAGGAAAAAATAAAATAAAAATCATGTTAATATGCTGATTGAGTTTGAAATTTCCAAAGAATAGGCGCTTTGTATGTGGCAAAACTACCCGTAGATAATTCGCATAAAAGTTCATGTTCGCGTCCATATGGTGATCTAGAATTTAAATAGAAATAAAGAAGGATTGAATAAAAATTAAATTTTATCTTGTTTTTTTTTAAAATTTTTTGCATACTTATTAAAATGTTCTACATTAACCGATAGACATTTATTCGTTGGCGCATGAGCAAGAACAATTTTATCATCAATCTATTGACAACAATTCTGTATATGGAAGTTAAAAACAAAAGTCGCGATTACCTTCACATCGGATCCATCGAACTCTAATCGTGCATTGATATTTGGATGCATGACAATCCATACACTATTTCGAGTTTTATTACTAGTGAAAATGACATCGCATGTTCGTCCGGCACGTGTGGAACTTTTCACACAAGTTAAAAATAACTAAATATTATTCAATGAAAAATTCTTATTTGAAATGAGAGAGTGTGTGTGAATTTTACTTCTCCATTAGTGTCCGATAGTATTATTTCATCGCCGTATTTAACCGAATCAGAACTAACCGAAAGATTCGGTCTAATGACATAGAAGAGCAGTTGTTATGCATTCGAATCTGAAATTTTCTTACTTTCCAAGAATAAAAGCTGAACGAAGCGTCGGACGTATTGATGTTGTTCCTGTTGCTGTTACTTCAGTTGCTCCATCCTGTAAACCCGATGAATGTGGAATACCAGTCGCTAAACAACAGCTTAATTGTGATTTTTCTCCTGTATTTTGAGCGGAATAAACCGATGTATGGATGAGCATGAGTTGATGACCAAAACGAAGTAAACCGTCACCAGCAGATATACTTAATGGAATCTAAAAATAGTCAAAAAATGTGATGTCATTTTTGTTCGATTCAATAGTCTATGTAATTACGTACTGTTTGTGACATACGTTCAACTTCCGACATTTTTTGTGATGACAGTTGACCAGTACTGCGTTTTTCAAGGAAATCTGTTAGTACTTCCTAATATTTAAATAAATGATTTTGAAAATTTAAAAACAAAATTTCCTCATTGTCATACTTCTTCCATGACTCTATCTTCATACCAATTTCCCACAAGAACTTGAGCATTGTAAGGCCGGATATTGGCTCTACTGTGCATCATTTTTCAACAATTATGTTACAATTAATAAAATACAGTGATCTGTAACCACAACACAATGTTTTTTCAGCTTTTTTTCTTTTCGTATAAGCGTTGCTATGTCTCCGCCATGTCGTTAAGTACAAATGAGAATAAAGGTATTTTCTTTTCTTTTCTTTTTTCTACTTGTGGCATCTATTGAAAGATAAGAGAGACTAATAAAAGGCTTTGAATTCAAATCGTCGATGTTACTAATAAAAGATAAACAGTCATTCTAAAACAAAATTACATCCTGCTAATTTTAATCTACACAATAAAATGAATTGAGAATCCTCTTGAACTATAAATTTCATAGAAACAATTAATAAATCGGTTCCGAGAAATACAAACACCGTTAATTCTATATAGAATCAAGTAGTAAAAAAGCGAAATCATTCTATTTGAGTTTGAATAAAAAAAAACACCTTATTATATAAATGTATATGGGATTAAAAATCTCTGGCACAATAAAAGCAAGCATACTTATTCAAAAAAAAATTACTGGCAGAAAATGCAAAGTATGGTATAAAATCCATCATCATAAGAACGAAAAAAAGTATTGTTACATGTCTATTGTACTCTGAATAATCTTTATGTACATATATATATATGTTACAGGGGAGATTGAAATGCAGGGCTATTTAAAATAGCTCTTAGGGGAAATTGAAATTTAATATCTCCCCTAGGACAAATAAAAATTTTGTTTTTTCCGGGTTCAATTTTTGAGAAAAAGTAAAGATTTTGACTTCAAAACGTACTACTTTCGCACCCACATTAACACTGGCATCTAATTATCAAGTTCCATCACATCAGTCTTTTCTAGATACCTGAATTCGCGCAAAAGACACTTATCTTATTTGTGAGTATGGATGGATGTAGCGTGTACATGTGGGTGTGGGTGTAGGTGCGTGTATGGGTGCTAGTACTAGTGTGGGTATGAATGTAGTACGTTTTGAAATCAAAATCTTTTCTTTTTCTCATAAATTGACTCCGGAAAAAAGAAATTTTAATTTGCCCTAGGGGAGATTAAAATTTCAATTTCCCCTAAGAGCTATTTTAAATAGCCCTGCATTTCAATCTCCCTTGTAGCATATATTAATACTTTGTAATAGAAGATTTTAAGTTAATCTGATTTTATTAATGCTTTTGCACATCAATTTTCAAAAGCTCCTTTCCAGAACCTTGACGGATGCACGCCATCCTGAAAAATATTGATATGATGGTTCATCAGTTGGATTTTGTGTTTTATAGTTTAAGCAAAACATCTAGAAGTTTTATTCATGTTTGTATATGATTTTCAAAAAGGTATGTCTAGACAACAAATTTACGTAGATCTCAATCGCTTGAGATCTAGAACAAACCTATTATCTATATTGTTTGGCAAGTTCTATATGATCGAAGGAGTTGAATTGTTCAGATACGCTGCTATCCTCTAACAAGTAAATATTCTTTTTGCTATAAACAATGGAGTGCTCTGCATATATTTTTGCGACGATTCATTCGATTATTACCTATGAATTCAACAATAATCTTTCATTTACTAAAGAAGAAAAAATCAAATTTCCTACGCTAATTAGTTACAATTTCTTGCGTGTTTGTTAATTTAAACATGATTACGAAACTTTTATTTTAGGTATACTGACACAAATTTCAAATTTTCTCATTAAAAAATGCCAAGATTTGCAGACTAGGTAATTGTTCAATGTCTAAAACATACTGTAGAAAAAGAAAACTAGACATCATTGTTTTTTTATTATCATAATCAGATTTTAATTTTCAGCTTGAACATGATCCAACATCCATGAACGACACTAAAGCAAGATAATCTCGACGCGCATGTTTCGGCATTTATGACAGAGAGTGATTAATAGATAGAATGATAATGAATTGAATAAATCTAAGTAGAACGATGACATTCTCTCGATGCACCAGCTAAGTAAATTAAGCCGACGGCTAGAGTAAATACATTCAACCATCGACATGTTTTTTCTCTTTGAACTATTTTGAGTAAAGAGCAATATAAAAAACAAGGGTCCCATTTTTCTCGCCTACACAGATTTTTTCCCCTCTTACGATCGATTTATTAATGACTGTCGATAGTTCTATTAGACTAATATTGCTTTTTAAGGTTGAACATGTTTTTGCTTTTTGTGCTATGTGGAATCAAATCTTTGCCTCTTTCTTTTTCTTTTTCGACCAGACTAGAGAGAGAGAGAGAGAGAGAAGAGAGAAAATCAATAGACTAATAGATTCTATCCAGATAGTAAATCTTTTCGTATATGATTCGATGCATGGATTTCATACAATGAGCTTTCTTTTTAGTGAATGCCATCAAAGTCTTTGTTTTGTATTTTATAGATATCATATCCTTATTACTCTGTAAATCGTTTAATACTATGCAACCAATCAGCATTCTTATGATGTTTATTATTGGTTATATAACATTATTAGCTGTGACTTGTGCTCTTTCGGTATGATGAATTAAATTTTTTGCTTTTTAATCATTTTATTGTTTTATTTAATCAGGAGCAACAAAATCCTGTTGCCGATCTGCGTATTAAACGAGCATTAGCACAAAAACGATTCTATGATTTTGGTTCTCGATCAGTCGACGGTGAAGATGCTAGTTTACGAAATTCAGATGATGAATATGATCGTGCTCAGCGATTCTATGATTTTGGCTCACGAAAACGTTTCTATGACTTCGGTTCGAAGAAACGATCCAATGAATAAAACAGCATTCTTTTTTCTCTTCTTGCACGCATGAATAAACTATCCATCTACCTAGAAAGTTAATCAAGATAATGATGTTCAGTTTCGTTACTCATTGAATTCATTATTAAGGCTGAATCGTATACATCTTTCAATATATTGAATGAAGATGAAATAAATATTTTTAAATTTATCTTTTAAATAAACACTTAATAGATATTGAAATGAGAAGTATATTAATTCTTGTCAACAAATGATCTAATCATATTTATCAAAAATATTCTTATAAGATCACCGTACAAGATCTGTGTGAGAAAGAATAGGTTCAAACTTCAACATTCTTATGATTGGTGAACATCCAGATCTCTTGATATAATTCCATTCTGACACACATGTCAAACAGTGTTTCAAAAAAAAAGCGTCAATCTTTTGCAGATACAAATAATAAAGATTTGGTATACAAGATAGCACATAACTGATGAGATCATTTTTGGAAATAATAGGTTCTACTTATCACGGAGTTCACGTTTATTATTGCCATTGTGCAGAACAAATCACACAGGATTTACTTGTCTTCGTCTAACTCAATGCTGATTGAATTCTACTATAGGATGAAACAATATCGTACGTAGCAAAATTTGAATAGTTTACGGCACTTGCTTAGAGTGATATTGTGTATAAATACATTTAGTTAACTATTTGCCTTTTCTACATTAGATTCCATAGAAAAACTATAGTTAATCGTTAAGAGAGTATTGCAATTCATAATCAATTAAGCACATTCTATAAGAAAATATTAGTAGGAATAACTTCATAGAATATTTGAAATGAGTCTAAATAAAAATATTTTGATAAGATTCAGTTCGCTTGTATTTAAAAGAATATTTTTTACACTCTTGATGTCGGTGATTAACATATTGATCAGTTTTATTTCCTCTTGAGTTGTGCGAAGATTGATAAGATCATTTAGTTACAACTACAGACTATTCAACTAGAAGTTTTTGGATCCGGTTGCCATGACATTTTTTGCCTGGGCTCAGTGGCTAAAATCGGAATAGAACTCCTAAAAAATGTGGAAACTTTGGATTTCATCCGAGAGTTATGTGTACTGCAAAAAGTGCATGAGACATATGAGTCATTCTAGAATGTCTGAGCATGAAAATTATCATGAGAAATTAGGCAATTTGATTGCTGGATGCAGTTTTTTGTGCATTTTGAGACGTTTTTCAGGCGATGTTTCGTTAGAAAGCTACGATTTTGTTCAAAACTAATATCAAATTTGGAATCAGCGTTAAAAACTGAGTCGATTTATATATTTTGTGGATAATTCTGAGAAAAATCCCTGCACTCCCCCTCAGGGATAGTCTGATCAAAAATGACAATTTTTTCGATAACTCAGCCATTTCTTGGCGGATCCTTCTCATCTTCGAACTCGACCTAGATATTAATGAGACAATTCTGTGCACAAAATTTCAGCTCAATCGAATGTAATTGTGAAGAGCTATCGAATAAACGGACGGACGGTCGGACACACTGACCGATTCTATAGTGTACTCTTTTTTTTTTGAGTACACAAAAAGATCATTTTGTCTAACTTCAAATTTCAATTCCATAGAAAAAATAATATCTGTGTCACATTTGATGTTGTTATTTTCTAAAATGATTATTAGCTTAGTAATAAACATATTACATAAATCCGTCTAATAGATCTTGGCGGATATTATTGTTATAACTAATCATTCACTAAATATTTGGCGCACATTGTGTTTTGATGCATTTTATACGCAGATACGATCACGCTTGTCGTTACGCTTGATTTCACAAGTAATTCGATAGAAAATACGACGATTTTTATGTTATTCAAACGTACCATATTTTTCATTACAACCAACACGAAAAACAAATAAACTAGCAGAGAACAAACATGGCCAGTGATTCTATTATTGCTAAACTAAAACCTGACCAACTCAAAGAGATAGTATCGTCATTTATGGAATTTGATCAGAACAAAAATGGCTCTATTTCATCCCAAGAAATGAAAGAATGTCTTTGTCGAGCACATGTTGCATTTGAGGATGCAGAAGTTACTACAGTTATGTCAAGCATGGATCATAATAAAGATGGCAATGTATCATTTGAGGAATATTTGAAATTTATGTCTCGTATGTTCATCGGAGATCTACAACCATCTCAAACAAAATCATGTCAACAGAAACCAGCTCAGCCATCAAAGCCAACACAAAATAGATTGGACAGTTTCTAGAGAAAGCGAAGACTAATTATCATTGCAACTAAAACAAGAATTACTCATTGACTTAACGAAAATTGTTTTATATTACAACAAAAATGATTATCAAATTCTCAAGATACAACACAAACATACCTATGTTTATCATCTTTTTTTTGTCCGTATTTTAGAATTTCGATGATATCTAAAAGGAGTTTCAAGCAATAAAGATTAATAATGTAATTTGAATAATATTTGATGAAATGTAATTTCTCAGTTTTTTTATGCGAACTATTTAAACGAAAATTTCGTTAAGTAGTCTCGCATCTTGGACTTAATTTCACGTCTTCAAATATCATAGGAAAGCAGGCCAACGAATACTCGATTATCTTTGTTTTTTATTGTCCTTATCATACTTGATTTAGAAAATTGCAAAGAAAACTTAAAGAAATTTATCGGCAATCACTAAACTCGATGCATAGAGTAGTAACTTTTGACTATTGTGCTAATAGTAATATTAGCCAATAGCCTATTATTGCCTAATCGAAGTACAAATCAATGTGATACACTGTATATTCGTGTGTATTCTCTTGTGCATTTATTCTTTACTTATATGAAACATACACATGCAATTATGAAGCGAAGCTCAAGGTTAATAAACAAACAAATAAGAAAAAGAAACGGTGACATAAAAATAAATAACAACAGAGAAAAAAGATATTCTGTGAGATCGATCGTTGTTAAATCAAAAGAAAAAATATGGCTAAAAATGATGAATAAAATCAAATATAAAATATTATTTTTATTTGTTTAAACTTCTGGGGTGCGATTCGACCTATATTTCCTATAAATCCTATTTTTGACCTATATTTTACTACATTTTATCGAAAAAAGTAGAAAATTTCCGAAAACCTCTTAATTTTGCTATTGTCTTTAGACGAAAAAAAAACTTTTGATGTGTATAATCATGTGTTTTGGAAAAATTCTTGTATTATAGTAACATTTGTTTTAAACAGTATTTTTCCTTTCGCCTGTTTAGTGGGCTGGCTGAGACACTGGTTAATACTAACTAAGTGCAAAATAGTTCAAAAGAAAAAAACATTCACACAGTGATTTTTCAAAGCTTATGATCTACTTTATTGTTGTTTATCGATTTGTGAAAAACTTTTATAATGACCCTCGAATTAGCGACTTATTTCAGTAGAAAAAATTACATGAGGATCTTGGCTACGGTTGAACTGTTTATAGCAGCTTCATTAAAACGATTTTCGAGCAGAGCAGTTAAAAAACACCAAAACAATTGAACAAAAAAGGTGTATAAAACGTCCTCTTTTTTTGCCATTTTTTATCGAAAAATCCTATATTTTTGACAACCTTGATCCTCTAAGGACTCCTATATTTTTAAAAAGTGCAATCGGAGACCAGGTTTAAACAATAAATCAATTAAATATTTTCTAGAATTTTTCTAAAGCATTATCTAGTACATCCTTATTTTATATATGTGAATGTATGTAAATACAAGAAAAAACAGGTAATCCACTTAGGTCACAGTACATATACTACAAGCGGTGGGAGCTGAAGTTTTGATTTCCCAGATTGGTTTGATTGCCAATGATGTTCTATCGCTCTCTGAGTATTTCTTTTAACTAAATAATACTATCATTGAGGTTTTTTGTTTCTCTGGCTAATGTTGACTAATATAACTGACAGAATAAAAACAATGCTTGTTAAACGAAATAGGCGGATACATATCATAGTGTATATCAGCACGTATTATATTAATTAATATTATTGATGGTTGGTCACTCGTTTCATCCACTATGAACTATCATCAAACAGCATTACTTCGACGTCTTCATGTAATTGATATTGCACCACAGGAATTTGATAAGTTATTACGTAATCATGTAGTAGAAGGAGCATATCTAGCTAAGATACAAAAGAAACATTGAACTAAAGTTCGTTATAAATTTTGTAGATTTTTGTTTGAAACGGAAGCTTGTAATAAAGTGACGACTTGAATTTTTATATTTCTCTCAAAGGTATGTGCATCTCTATCTGTTTTAACAATCTGTCGGCTTCAATTTAATTTTCCCCGCTCAAATCCGAGTCAATTATCAAGAGATTCAGCACCGTCACGAATGACTTTACCAAATATTTCCAATACAATTTATCTTCATACATTGGCACCTGGTATCAACACATTACACTTTCTACAACGGTTATTAGAACGTATACATTTCATTGAAAATCTATCCCTTGGCATACAAGATTCAGACATCTATGACCCATTGATTATATCAGGTGATATTATTCAACAACTATGCATCGATCGTCTCAAACCATCAGCAAAATATACTCTGAATCTATCGATCGGTGTTTGGAACGACATGAAAAAACAACACAATTTTCAATTCATTTTTGGAAACATCATTTTCTCGTCGAGAACGACCGAGGGTGTTTATCCAAGAACAGGATAGTTGGAATATTGCTTATGATGTTCGTCGTTTTGTAGTATACACTACGCCATATAATGCTATGATACTGTCAGCATATCTGTTCTCTACAGATTAGGAAAAGTATGTCAAAAATATACTGTTGTTCTGGAAGATTTATAGGAATCTTCGTTTTTCTATATATATAGATATTGTCAAAGGCCGATTAATGCAGTGGATGTGTTTCCACATACTAATGAGATATTCCTCAGTAAGCAGAAGGAAACATCACTAATCTATTAGAACTCGGTAATTATAAACGTTCAATATCATTGTTGATTCCTTGGCCATTGCTAAGAAAAATTTCAATCGATGAAGATCAAGCGGTTACTATAGATCCATGCTGCCAATGAGATTTTATGCCGCACGATATTCGGAGATCGTAAAACTCTCGGAAATCGTCTAAGCGAACAAGTAAGAATTATTTTAGAATGTAAATCTCACTGCAAATTGGTTTATCTGAAAGTTTTACTTTGCTCGATGCCCATGTTCCGTTTCAGAAAAATCTTTTTCTAAAATTGATTAAAAATTTGATGTTAGAGTGGATCGATTATTAGAAACGTTTTAAGAGAGATCTTTTTTTGCTGTCATTTCAATAAAGTGATTTTATTTCTATTTATTAGATCCAATCATTTACTATAGACGATTTTACTCTAAAACTGTATAATGCTCAATGGTTCTGCGATCTAATCTGTAATCAATTATCTAACTTGAAAGAACTATTTTTTATGCGTGATTTATTCAATGAAAAAAATAAATCTACAAAATGTATTGTTAATGTTATTCATTTCCTGGTTGATCATTTGCAGCAACTTGTTTCGCTTTGCATTACTTTGTCCTGTGAGGTTCACTCTGAATTACGCTGTTTTCCACATTTAATTCGACGAGAGCTACATGAACGACCACTTAGCCGGTCTTATCGAGTGCGATTTTTTCCAGAATTTTCTCTCTCTCTCTGTTTGTATGTATGAATAAACTTGAAATGTATTCCATTCGATCAAGTTTATAATAAAGCATCGGAAATAGAAGAAAATTACGTTCGTTTTTGTAATCGAAATATGAAACAAATGTGTTCAGATAGACTGATGTAGTACAGC